ACAGCAGCGAACGGTGCAAATTGGGCACACCGCCGCCGCACAGCCGAGCCAAGAGCCCAACATCAAAAACAACATCACCATCAGCAGTGTGAGTTTGGTAAAACAACAGTGCTGACGCTGATATCAACGCCGATTCTTGCGAAAAATACTTAGTTACCACAAAGCGTTTCCCGCAGCGCATAAATAAAGATGAAGCCTTCCACTTACAACTTACAGCTCCCTACTTGCTCACTGCAACGCACCTTACGAGTACCATTACAATGCAACCTAACATACACCTCCTTGAGCTGTCAGTTGCTAGTAGATACGTAGGTTATTATGTGTGTGTAGTTGCCTTGACGCATGGGTGTGTGTGCGTGTGTGTGCATTGGATATCGCATGACCCTCATTATCATACTTGCCACCATTAAAGCAATTTATTTCCGACGCTGCTCATTTTCTTCTTCTCCGCACTCTACTACTCCGCCTTTTCTTCTCCGCTGTGCTTTCGGGGCACTTAATGTTTGCTTTTTGTTGTTTTGAACTTGGCTAAATACGCGGCAAGGACATTTATTATTGCAAGCAGCTCATAAATACATCTGCCACAACAATAACAACAATGACGATTGTTATTGCTTTCGCGTTACGTTTGGACACACTTGACTTGACTTGACTTGACTTCTCTTCATTTCTGTGGTAACTGTCCATCCACTGTCTGTTTGTCTGTCTGTCTGCCTGTCTGTCGTCGTGTGAGTGAAGGATGTTGTTAACAGGATCACATTGCCTGTAATGGCAACTAAAGTACCTAAATAATTGTAGAATCACCCCAAACAGCCCGCACATGCAACACCATCCTTATCAAACTGCTCTGCTGCGTGGCTTGATCTGGTTCGCGTAATTGGAAGCTACTTACAAATGTACATTAGCAGATAATTACAACACACGTACACTCATTGGGGACGATCAAATCGTGAAAATAAAAAAAATAAAAAATTCAATTTTTTTCACACAGAAACCACAGAAACACAATAAATTTCACCTGCGTTCTATCACTCTCTGATAATGAGCGGTCACTGCAGTCGAATGGGTAGCGGTGTGAGTGCGGTTGGGGGCACAGAAAAGTGATGGAAATAATAATATTTGTTCAAAAGTCTACTTATGAATCAATAAGACTCTTATATACAATTTAGTTTAATTTATTTTATTTATAGAAATATTTTAATTTGATCTATTCTTTATTGCTTTTCATTTTATGTGATCCCGCACTGGTTTGGCCTGGCAATATACATAAAAATGCTGTGAAAAAGTATGTAAGTATTATACCAACTTTTTATTATGACAGAAAAGAAATTTATTTACGAAGTTAGGTTAAATTAAAGCCCAGGAAGGTGGCCGTAATAGCAGCGGGTCTGAAAAGTTAGGGTTGCAGTCTTTTGCTTCAACCATCAAACGAAATTACAGAAAGCCAATTTTTTGTTTTCATTACGCTCGCTCGGAATATCAACTCTCCGAGTGTATTTCTGATATGAAAATCAAAAAAAATTCAGCAGCCATTCGTGGGCGGTTTAGTCTGTAAGTCCTCCAATTTGTTGAAAAAACATCAAGACGGCCCGACAGTTGCTTCAGCGGCTCAATAGCAGTCCAGCAGCGCAACTTGGTCGCATGTAGTGTGCCTTGCAACATTATGGATGTATTATCATTTATGTGAGATCCACCGGGTCAGCCAGCTTAACCTAACCAAACCTTCCCACTCGACTTTCTGGATAGAAAAAAGACAGCCTCTTTTTTTTATCCGTCTTTTCAGTTTTTAAAAAATACATACTAATCATTTGGCGGCATAAATATTTAGGAGAAGTTTAATAGAATTAAATGTAGAAAAGTTACAGCTACATATTCTACCCCTCTTTTAGCCAAGTTTCATGCTTGCATCCCCTTAGCCCAAGTTGAATTGAAGTCAGGCCTGAAAATCCATTGTGATACTGCTATACCAGCTGTTGCTACATCAGCCAGGCAGTCGAAGAAGTGCTATCCTAGGTATTCGCGTCGTATATCGCTTTCGGCTGAACAGTAAAAGAGATAGTGCTCGACAGACTCTCCTCTCTTCTATCTTCTTCATCTCTGCGGCTTCAACAAAAGTAATTCGAAAAGTGTGCATAGAATAAATTGCAGTTAGAGTGGCTTTCATCAAGGCTTTTGATGGATGAATGTGGTTTTCCGAGTGTAGGCTACCAGACAGTGCCCCGTAATATAGAACGGGTCTGATTACTGTTGCATGAATACAATGAATAATAAATTGTTTTCTTTTTAGTCCACATCTCTTGCCATTGGCCGCCTTGCTTGCGTAGAGTGGAGTGGTAGCTATCCCCCCGTATTTTGGCTCCTGTTGAGCTCACTATCTAAGATTATACCAAGATATTTATTTTCTCTATTTTAGTTTGGGTAGTTGAAAAGCAAGTGGTTTTTATCTTCTTGTGAAAGAAACCAGTCCGGTTTTCTCTGGATTAACATTTTAAATGCGGTTCCACTAGCTCCCTTATATCTATTGCAGCTTTTAGGCGTCGACCCTAGCTAGGTTTGACAGTCCTTTTATTTGCTGCGCAGAGACGGGGGCGTATCGTTGAGTCCTCAGAACGTATATATTTAAATATGTACATCTGGAATACTGGACACATATCCAGCGTCTATCACAACATTTCTGATTTAATTGCCAGCCTTGCGATCCGGTAACAACTGTGTAGATTGATGAATTTTCTTGTGACGGAATCTAGCAAAGTCGATCAGCCTCAGCCCATTTTCAGAGAGTTCGCAATGGAAGCTGAATTCTCCAGCTGTTGTACTGTTATACCACAAATATTTTTTTTCGATCAATCATAAGAGTATAATTTTACAAAATATGAAAATTTGAAATTCGTGCAACAACAAACACAAATACATATATCAGTGTATTAAATGACGTATTCATAACAAGGTGAAAGATTCCATGCTTATTTATGTATGGACATATGCTGCTCCTATTTATACCTTTCATATACATACATACGTCCAAACTATGTGAGTACCAGAATAAGAAGAAGAGATATATAATGATGTTTTTCGAATAAATAGAGCGAACCACAATAAATTCTAGGCCGCCTCCGAACGGCTTAGAGATTTTGATAATGAGCTTTTTCCCCCTGATTTTCACAATTAGAAATGCTGTGAGTACCAGAACTCGAATACTAGTTTTCCAGGCAGGCAGTAAGCACCCTGCAATTGTTGCCATCCCAATATCAATTATATGTATGTAATTAAAAAATTTAAAACTACTGAAGCCACCGCAATTGGAAAATTTGCCTAAATTTTATATTTAAATTACAATAATTTTCCATAACGTTTTTGGATGTTAGTACCGAAGAAGAGATAGGCCAATCAAAATTTATAACGAGCCGGTCTGACTGTCGAGTTGAGTTGCTTTAGCCATATCCGTCTTTCCGTCTGTTTGTACGCACACTAGTCCCTCGGTTATTGAGATATTTCAATAAAACTTGGTACCCAGGTACTTTGGTTTATTTAATCGGCCAGTTCGGAGTACTGCGACATAAATGCGACTGATTTTTTGAGATTTGAGATTTTTGATCATAAATTTGTGGAAAAAGCATTTAAGAGCGTGAAACTTGTTGTTATAAATGGGTATATACAAATAAACATTGTTACCAAGAATAGTCGGAAGCGGAGGACTATATAACATAGCGCTCGTACAACCGATTTTTTCAGATGAGAGATTTTGCGGTCAAAAATCCACCAAAAAAAGTATCTAAAAAAATGAAATTTTGTATACTACACACGTACATACCATTAAACATTGTTACCGTTAGACATCGAAATCGATAAGAAATAACCGATTATTTAGATATTCAATTCTAAAATAAAATACCATCAATATGTTATGGTCATAAAAGGTATTAAGACTACGGGCATGGCCGAAGACAGCTTTTCGTTCTTTCTTCTTTTGTTGTTTTTCATTTTTATTCACATTTATTCTGCACAAACATCTTTATTAACTGCATACAAAGCGTTTGGGATTGCAAACTTGTTGCAAACGCTAATTAAATTAAGTCTTGCGCAGCAGTTGCATGCAAACTATAGTTTCAACAGTAGCAACAACAACAACAACAACAGCAATAACGGCAACGGTAAACCAACGCAGAACGTCAACAATGCAATGGCTTAATTAGTTGCACACAGAGAATGCCATTTATAGAGTTCTGTTGCTGTTGTTGTTGTTGTTGTTGTTGTTGCTGCTGTCATACTTCCAATTGAGTTGCGGCATAAATGGTAGCAACATATATACATATTTATATATATATATATGTATGTATGTACTTATAAAAAAATTGCAAAGCGCAACGACAACATCTGTTGAGTGATGAGCTCCAATCAGCGCCAGATTATATTAATATTATTGTCGTAAATATAACAAAAACAAAGCAAATACTATAAAAAAATATGCGGCATCTTTGTGCGGATGTGTGGGAAGCACGTGTGGGGGTGTGCGTGTGAATGTATGTTTGTGGAAAGTGTGAGTTTTATGAATTCACGCCAACATACATACATACATACATACGTCAACAGCAGATGCATGTTGCACACACACAGACCCACATACACACACTTTTGACTACTCATAATGCATATGGAAGAGATGCAAGCAATGCTTAGCCTGGACCCCAATATATTATATTATATGTATGTGTGTATGTTTATATGTACGATGTATATGTATGTATATATAGACGGCTGTTGCAAGTATGTATATGGCGCCAATGTGCTGCATGCATGGTTGCCTCTGACAAACGCTTTGCTTACTTGCTGTCATGCATATGTATATATGTATATAATATGTAAAGATATACATATATACATATGTGCTTGCTGGCTTGCTTATAGTTGGATGGCTGTGGCGGGCGGCTGGGGCTAGTGCAAGTCAGCGTCAGACGATGCGCAATCATAAATTCAATTGTTATTAACTATATTATGTTGTAGTTATGTGTTGGTATGTAGCAGTGTGTGTGTGTGTGGCCGTATAATCATGTGCGAATAAATATGATGCCAAGTCGGCGTTGATGTATTTATAAGATGCCGCACTGATTTATTGCACCGACCAAATTAAGGCAACCAATTGACATGCCAACGCCGCCGCCGCCTCTCATATTCTTATTTCTCCTTTTAACTTTATTTTCTACTTATACTTGCATATGTTTGTATGTATGTACGTATTGTAGTACTTACTTCTTGGCATTTATTATTCTTTTTTACTTTTTCTCAACAGCATTTGCATGCAACTTTCCACTTTCATACTCAATTGTATGTACATACATACATACATGCATTTGTCTGTAATTCGGTCGACTTATACAGAGCAGTCGCCGCAGCTGCAATTGTACTGACCGCCATTCTACTCATTTACTAGATTTTTTTTTTATGAATTTGCGCTTTTTATTTATTTATTTTTATTTTTCTTATTTTTTTTTTTTTGTTAATTTTGTTTGTTTTTGTTTTTCGCTTTTGTATTTGCCAACCATTTGCTTGCCACGCCACTTTACAACGCTTCATCTCTCCCCGCCCCCTGCACTTAGTCGCTTTTGCTCTATTTTTTTTCTTTGTTGTTGTGCAGAAAAATGACAAACTGCGCGCAAATTTTGTCGCATTTATGTTGAACAAACTTGTTTCGCTGTTTTACAAATGTCACTGCATACGCCAGAGTTCGTCGCTGCCGCTGCCGTCGCTGCTTACAAATGCCCGCGTTGGCGGTTTTATTTTCATTGTTGCAATTGCAAACCAAATTTTGTTTATGTATTTGTTTGCGTTTGTCGATGTTTGTGTACTTATACGCAAATATATGTTTGTATGTATGTATTTTGTTGCTCATTTGTGGCTTGCCATGCTGCTCACTGCACTTTTCAGCAAACCAGCGGAGAGTGTCTCTTTTGAAAGCCGCGATTGTGGCTGATTTTTTAACTGTTTATGTGTGGATCTCAAGGCATTCCCTACTTGGCTTAAGCCCAAAATCAAAAATGTAGTCCTTTGTAACGAGATATTATTAATTCGTTAATAGTTTGTATGGATTTGAAGGGTGTTTTTTAGGTATGTGATTTTTAAGAAGAGAAAAACGCATATAATTTAACGTTATGGCCAAGAATTTTGCTTTATTACATAGATAATGGCTTGTCATTATGGTTTCCATATGATTTTCGGCAGCCCAGAGTATGTGAGGACGTCGATCGTCTCGGGCTTATTAACAAGCGACTTCATATTATATGATCTTAGAGGCCACGCCAAATGCCCACGGCGTGAGATAAATGCGCTCACCTACAATAAATTGATTGTTTCGTCAGCTGTATGACATGTAGCGCTGTCTTGTTGGAACCAAAGTTCGTCGCCCCCAATTCAGGCCCTAAAAAGTCAATAACTCTACAGCGTTTCCCATTGACTGTCAACATTATGGTCGACTTAATTTGTCCATAGAACGCACCAAACAGTAACTCTTTGACGTTGTAACGGCATCTCAACATGGGCTGGATCATCATCACTCCATTACTTATTAATCCGTTAGCGCCCATTCAACCAAAACTGAGCTCCAACGCAAAAAAAATGTTTTTTGTGAGAATCGGTGTCGGGTAGCTATCTCGTTTTGTGCTCATTCACTGAACGTGCGACGCGCTTGATAGTGAATCTGCTTAAATTCTTGCGCGAGTTGGATTTTGTAAGACCGCAAATCTAAAGATTCTTCCGCAAAATCTTCCATAAACAGCATGGACACAGTCATAATTGTTGGATGCGATGTCAGATGGACTGATTCGGGTCTTCTATCCTTACTCTGCTCCACAGCAGCGATGGTGTATTCAGTGCGCACTGTACGGCGTCTCTGAGGCAGCGCATTGTCCGGTAGAGTAAACGTGGTGTTAAACCGGTCAAACTGTGAGCTTAGCTTGTCTTGAAAACGTTTTTGGTTAAGTCCAATTTGACATGTTGTGATGGCGACAAAATCTGTTGTTGTCTTGATGAGACTTAGTAGCAAACAATCTTCAGGGCCCCACAGTTTTGCCACTGATACTCATTTGGTTATATGACTCTTTCATGGGAACTGAATATCCAACAGTAAGAGAAGTTCGAGTATTTCCAATATGCAATAGTAGTGCTTTCAAGCGCCGCATTGAGCTTGAGCAATCTTCATTCCTCTGGCATGTGGTTTCTTCTTAAGGACCCGCTAATTTTATTGCAGAAAACCAAGATGTTCTCCATATCAAAAAGTGAAGACGTTTACCTATACAGGTTCCACTGCTTCTATTTTATCCTGGGAAATCTACTTAGTTTTCGGAAGTTCTAGATCACTCTCAAAATCGTGTAATTTCTACTTAGTAATTTTATGCGGTTCGGATTCAAATCCTGGTCTCGTCCCAAAAACCAGAAAAGTTACAGAAAATTTATTTAAAAATAAAAAAATAAAATTTAAATTTTCTAATTGCGGTCGCCCCTAAGCAGGGAATGTCAACCCCACCAAGCTCGGCCGAAAATCGCTTCAGCGGTTACAAAGCGCCATATATGTAGTTTTAGTTAGTAAATTAGTTAAGTAAACAGATACCTTGATGATGGAACCCTGATAAAGCGTACTTAGGCCTACTGGCCCGCTATGATACATACATATGGTGGTCCTGTTAAGGAAATTCTTCTCATCTTTCTAAAAGCTCTAACTAATTGGTGTTTCTTATGAAGTTCAGGAGATTAATAACGCCTACCGATGCAAGCTCTGCAAGGCAATCGAAGAAGAAATTTCTGAGAAAACAATACCAGACCATAGAGCAGAGCAGTGGGAGAGCTAATATTCCACCGATTCGTCCTCATCCTTTCCCTATGGATGTACTATTTAAAAGGAGTAGAGACCTAGTTCTTTTTTCCCCGATCAATGGCCAAATTTGTCTTGTTGTGGTTTCACTCTACCTTCTGCTGTTAGGCCATCTGATGAAGGCTAGTCTTAGCAGACACTTTGTCGAGGAAAGCAGTAAGCCCATGCCCAATACAGAGTTTACCGTTCCCGACGATGCAGTCCACTGGAATGTCCCTATGACCAGAATCCCAATTCTCGTGAACTTTTCTGTATAGGTCTGCCGGGAGAAATTAAACAGAAATTGAAGTGATTTCGTAGAAATTAAAGTAAACGCAATTGTATTGAAGGTGGGGGGCGTCGGCTGAACTTTTTCCAACTTGCTCCTACAAGTAGTATAATCCAGACCACTAGGCAGTAACTCTATACAAAAATACGGGTATTATTATCACTTTGCATAGCCAATGGTCTTAGTCCCCATCTTGTAACGATCGCCGCCTTGCTAGCGTAGAGTGCGGACATAGCTTTCTTACACCTTTCTATGAATATAATAGCTTCAGTGAGCTCTAAACACCTAAGTATAGAAAAGTGACGAGATCTATAATTTTAGGCTTAGTACACGAGCCACTCTGGTGCAGTGAGCGCGGTCTGAATATAGGTACAACCCATCTGCTTTTAATTTGCCCTAATTCAAAGGCATCGCTCTTTCTATTCAAGACCACCTGAAAGTGGACCAGGGCCAAACCTATTCGCAAGAGGGTTATTTATGGCTCGATTTACTTGAAATTCGGTACATAAGTGGCTTTTTGCATAGATTAACCGGAAGACTCTCCGGGAAGTGGACCAGGTCCTAACCTATTCGGAAAAAGTTTATTTATGGCTGGATTTATTTGAAATTCGGTACATAGGTAGCTTTTTTCTTAGTATAACAGGAAGACTATACTTCTATCTGGAAAGTGGACCAGGAAGGAAGACTATACTTCCTGGTGGACCAGATGGGCAGGAAAACTACTGTTATCTGCGGGAAGTGCCAGATCCACTAGCTTATTTAAGATTTCAGACTATTCCTCTCTCCGGGAAGTGGACCTATGATAATGATAAAACCAAAAATGTCGTCTTCTCACAAGTTTTAATAAATAAAGTCATGATAAAAAGATATCCCATGATTAATTTTTCATACATTCAATGAGTATGTGCGACAGCAAAGCGTTGCAGGATACAGCTTGAACGAGCATAATATATTTTTTCATATTTTGAGCAAAGCGAAACCATTGAATCGATACCAAGCCCAGGAAAAAGTGTTCGCAAATGTATTTCGGGCCCAAAACAAGCTACTATGCAAATCAAACATCTTAAAAGTTAATTCGATTTTTTCGAATATTTCCGTCCAGGTACACTTCCCGGAAAACCCTTTCTTATTGGGTGTAAACGTCAAACGCCAAACACACCCTCCAAGTTGCAGGTTTCTATGAACAATGGCTTAGAGCGTAGGCTGATCCGTCAGTCATAAAGGACAAAGTCTTTTATATATGTATATGGATAATTTTCAACTCTAGATACCAGCGACAATAAAAAGAACAAACGAAATCTGCCATACTTCCATTTACCCATAAAAGTTGTGGAAATTTTACTAGCTTCCCCAGTTCACCTATTAGGGGGGTCGATTTTACTGCTTTTTCCTACTCTTATAGTGTCGACCCCCCCTCTTGAGCCAGTGCCAGCATAACAATTTGACGCATGTTAAAAAGCAATTAAGTCGCACTCGATGAACATTTGTAACGCGCGGAGCATCAATTGTTCTATGCGAAGTCCCACTATCGACTTCAACTGCACAGCGCTGCTGCGCTCTCGCTGCCACAGTATTTATGCACAGTATTTATGTGCTCGTAAGTATAAAAGTCGGCGCAGCTTATTATTATTTTAATAATACACCAACAATTCGCTAATTGGCACCTTGTTGATGATTAAGCGGCGCAGCGACGAAGCGCTATAATAATGCAACTGCGCTGCCAACAGGTTTGCAACACATGCAACATGCATACCTACATACGTACATACTGAAGTACATCAGAGTGTAAATTCAACGTTTGTCTGCCAATTGCAAACAAAAATATACATACATACATACATACATAGTTGCATTACAACAAGTTGGTAGAAATTTACACATTTCCTTATCAGCTGCCATTAATCTGGCAATAAGCGCAGAACATGTCGAACGGCAGTCAGTAGCTGCACAGTAAACTGCATGCAAAAACAATTGTCACAGCGATTGCAAAAATTAAAAAACAGCACCGCTGTCATGCCACATGGCCCAATGAGTAGTTGACAAAATGCAAGTATGTATGTCGTTGTCACTTCATTGCCGCGAGCCATAGGCTGGCCGATAAGACATAAAAACTCTCCACTTTAATAATTTGGCCGTAGTTTTTTTTTTTGTATTTTTTGCATGAGACATTAAAGGAAAAAGGGGGAAAAGCTGTGAAAATAAAATACTGATAGTGCGAATTTAAGGTTAATAAATTAAATATAATTGCGTTTAAATGAAAAAAAAAATGTAAAATAAATTAATAGAAAATAAAAATAAAATAAAATAAAATAATAAAAAAATTAAATAAAATAAAATAAAATAAAATAAAATGAAANATGAAATGAAATGAAATGAAATGAAATGAAATGAAATGAAATGAAATGAAATGAAATGAAATGAAATGAAATGAAATGAAATGAAATAAAATAAATTAAATTAAATTAAAAAAAATAACATAAAACTTAATGAAGAAAATAAAAATAAAATCTAATAAATTAAAATGATATCAATGAAATTAAATTAAGTATGTAACATAAAAATGCAAATAAAAATATGATAAAAATAAAACAAAAAATTTAAACAAAATAAAATAAAATAATTTAAAGTAAATAGAACAAAAATAAAATAGAATTATAATAAAGGAAAATAAAAATAGAATAAGATGAAATAAAAGTATAATACAAAATATTACAAAATTAAATTAAACTAAATAAAATATAATTTGAAAATAAAAAAAATTAAATGAAGTGATATAAAAATAATATTAAATATTCACATTATTAAAAATTAAATCAAAATTAATTAAAATATAAAAAGATAAAAGTAAAGATAAAATAAAAATTATTAAAAAAAAATTAATTTAAAAAATCTTAAGTTAAATAAAAAATAATTAATTGAAACTATTAAATCTAAAAGTTTAAATAAGGAAAACAAAAAATAATTAAAATTCAATAAAATAAAAGAAATAAAATGTAATAAAATTAAATAAAAACAGTAATGAAAAAAAGGAAAATTAAACGCTATAAAATGATATTATATTAGGTCAAGTAAAAGGTTCGTTCGGCTTTATTATACATAGTACTAGTATTACGTGTCGTAGTATACGACGCTGAAAACATTTTTATTCGCGCTCAGTACGTTGTGAGCGCTCGTCAAAGATGGACACCAGCAAAGAGAAAATTTGCAAATTTTATAATTTTTCTTCGATCAAGGAATGGAATGCTTTGTCCTGAAAGACTGACGGATCAACAAACAGCCTAAACCTCTGACCGTAAAGATCTGAAACTTAGAGATTGTGTTTTGCGTATGACGGAGGCATCGGTTATGAAAGAATTTTCTGGGATCTCGACCTAGGACCGATGTAATCGAAAAAATGGAAATCTATTTTAAATCAGAATTGTGTTCTTAGTGAGCCGAAGACCTGGCTTGTTTATATGAATTGAATATTTTTGTTATATTTACAACAAAGAAATTCTTTTAAATAGCTTGAGTTTCATGAAATTCGGTGCACAGTTAACTTTTTGCCTAAATTGGCATGGGAAACACTTTTTCTTTCGAGAAGTAGACTTGATATCGATGTATTGCAAAAAAAATTTATTTAACGTTTGATTTATATAAAGTTTTGTACAGAGGTAGCTTTGGGCTCAAATTTCCACTGGGAAGTCCAAGGATCAATCTATTTCGAAGAGTTCGGACTAGAGGGAAAAGGTCAGCAAAAAAGAGGATCGTAAAAAGGTCATATAAAAAGGTGATTAGTGACGTGCGTGAATTCATTGCAGGCAAACATACATATGTTGGAGACATGCCTTGTCCTTGGTTCTTGTTTTACCATATTTGGGTCATAACTGCTTCGATATCTTGCAATTGGTTAACATTTTGCATCAGTTCTGAGTTATTTGCTCTAAATGTGATGAATCTCTCTCTTGTTTGATAATGATTATTATTGTATATCGCCTCGATGTCATCTAGAGAGGCTCCTGACATAGCCAAATCTAGATAAATATAAATGCAATCTGGTCCAATAGCTTTACTTGTGCCAGTAATACTCAGTTCTCGACACCTACGTTTAGCTGCTCTTCTGCTATTCTGTCAGCGATTCTAGGCTATGGTGTCGATTGCAGTCCATAAAGTCCAATAATCCCTTACTGATGATGGATTATCTGCAAGCAGGTGTATGCTAGGATGATCACTATACCAGCTTAACATAACGTTGTACCCTTTTAATTGTGAGCATATATGTTTCACTATAGAAGTGTTTTTATTATGGTTCTCAAAACTGTGTTTTGACAAGCTTGTAGCTCCTGCATCTGCGTCTCGCTCGTCTCCGATGTCTAAATCTGTGTAACGTGGTTCATGGCCGGTCAATTGTCTTGCAAATATCAATCACAGTCGTATGCATAACAAATCAGCCCAGAATATCGGATGTAAATCTCAGTTATTTTAACGTTCACGTCGTGCCGGTACTTCTTTCATCCAGTTGATGATAATCGAAATAGACTTTGCTGGTTGTAGTTTTAGATGTTGCACACTGAAAGAAATGAGAAAGTTCGAAGAGTTCACCTTTCAATAAAGTTTATGAATATCCAATATCGAGTAATCATCAGGGTGTGTAATCAAGGAAACGTAGAAATTGTGCAATAGCGTGGAGATGACACCACTCTTCGAAACCCCTAGTTTAATTTTCTTGACCTTGCAGGAATTGTGACCTCAAAATTCTATCGATAACTATCCATAACTAAGGTGATTCAAGGGCCACCTCTTCAACCTCGGCGGAGTTCTCAGCGGGCGATAGTTGCGACGCATAGTTGACACTCATGACAATCAGTCCTACAAAACGGAGGTATCCGTCCAGTTCCTTGTTTTAACACATAAAGCTTCGTCACTTGTTCGAAGACCTAAACCCGTTTTGGCCACATTAATTTAATGCTTATTTACGACCAGTTGTTGTAAAGCAGCAAGCAAAAATAAAAATAAAAAAAAATATAACTAAATTTTAGAAACCTCTTTCATTATTCTGTCATGCTCTGGACACCGTAAAATACCATAAATACCAACATTGACCGCGGCTGGCTATCACTTGGACCGACTCAGCTTCTTATTTGACGCATGTGCAATATCCAATGCCACAATTGGTGGCATCATGTGGGACATACATACATGCATATATACGGCATATATTTCAAAATACATATTTACAAATAATCTGCTGGGAATTATTATCACAAACACATTATGGTAGTATACGTACTGCTAGCCACTGGAATCGCCTTGTTTAATCTCAACTCGCCACTACTTTCGATTCGGTTATTCAATTCAATCGTGATCAGTTGCGCATAGTCGGAATATTTCGCACTTGCATTGCAAAGCGATAAGTGGCACCCAAAACCAAGCAACTGAATTCATTGGTGATATTTCTCTTTTTTTTTTTTTGAATTTTAAAGCTGAGAACTTTAAGTTTTTTGGCAAATATTTTAAATTTTTTTTTGCTTTTTATTTATTTTTTCTTTATTTGTGTAGCCAAAGTATTGCATGGCTTTCTTGCCGATATAGTAGAATTGTTGACATTTTTCGGTTAAAACAAAATCATTATAAATCTCCTGTAGTGAATTCTTTTGCCAAAGTTTTGCTGCTGCTTCTACTTCTGCTGCTGCTGTGTATATTCAGATCCTTTGTTTCGCTGCAAGATGGCAAAGATTGCGATTTGCTGATAAACATCGGAGGCGGCTGCAAAAGAAATAGTAAATTTATGTATGTATGTATGTATGTATGTGTGGATGTGTGTGCATACCTGCAAGTAAAAAATTATAAGGTGAAAAAATGAAAAAATGTCCAAAGCAGATTTGCATAGCTTTTGTGTAGGGAAGCCCTTCTCCTTTTGGGTACTCGTGCTGGATTATATGTACTTGTGAAACTTCTGTCCCACATGTGTTCTAAATTTGCAAATTTTTCAAAATTATTTTCAAACTTTTTCATGCTTTTCATGAACGAGAATCATCTTACAACCCTTAGAATTAGAATTAGATTGACCGATGAAAATCGAAAAAAACTCGTATAAGACTGCAATGATGACCTTTTCTATGTCAATGTTATTAAGAATTTCTTTTACTCAGAACCAATGTAAATATATAATTTTCTCTCGGAACCGGTCTGAAGCGATCTTTAGCCAAGATCCTCCTACAATTTGTGTTGTGCCTCTTGAGGTTTTTCCAACGGATGGAGGGAAGGGCCGATGACATTTCCTGCCGAGGGGTGACCATAATTAGAGAAATTAATTTTCAATCATTTTGGATGTTGGTTGGTCGCCTTGACCATCCATGCTGACCGCTGCATTACTGCGGCCGTCAAAGTTAATACCAATTATAATATCATCTCCGAAACTCTACACAGAAGCACACTTGCTTACTGATTTGACTAATTATGCAATTGACTGGTTCAATATTCACTTCGAGGTAAAGGTTTCGCAAAGGATTTATGTCCTTTGCTTACTAACGATTCTTAAATTTTTTCTACCAAGTACCCGCTGTTGGTTAGGTGACTAAGAGCCTGACTTCACTTGGTGTCAGGTTTGCTATCATTTGCCAAATCTATGCCTCCAATTTCAATATTTTTTTTTTTTTTATAATTTTCAAAAGGCTACTGAACCGTGCCGAAAAACCCTACAACCATTAAACCGCTCAATTCCCGACGCCAAAAATAACTCAAAGGGCTTATGGCAACTTACTAGAGAAATTTTCCGTTAATTTGGTTACTTGGTTGGTTGAAGTGATTGGCGGGCATCAGCTCACGTAGGCGCCATGCGGGCTCATTGTGATACCACTGAGGATCCTAATGATGACCTCCACCCGCTAATCAAACCACTGTGTGGAGTTTCCAAAATTGAGCAGTCGCCGTACCTTAGTCCCCGCTATCGCGCTCAAGTCTCCGAAGGTTACCGCCGCTAGAGACTTGAACCTCCTAATCCAAAATGAGGGGCATTCGTAGAGAAAGTGTCTTAGGGTTTCAGGTTATTCTTCTTGTCTGCAACTTCTTCAGAAGTCGTTAGATGGTACTCCTAACCTACCGAGGTGCTTGCCCAATTGAATATACCTTTTCAGGTTAACGGGACCTTCTTCTGTTCCAATTCTAACCATATTTCCTTGGTCACATTACACGCATTACGACTTCTTCATCTGCAGTTAGCATCTTTAATCAATGTCTGTATTGAGCTTACAAGTGGAGAGCGGCATGCCCGAACTTCTCTGCCATCTCATTAACTGGTATGCTGCTGTGTCCAGACACCCAAACTAGGTTCAAAGAGAACTGCTGTGTTTACACGTTAAGTAATCTGCAGCAGTTCTTTACGGTTCTCGAATTTACTGATACAGATTCCAGGTCTTTTAATGCTGTCTGGCTATCCGAAAAAAATGTGGATACGTTTTTCTAAGAGCACCATTGAGCTGACACAATAGACAACCTTAAGTATAGCACCCAATTCTACTTGGGAAACACTGCAGTGATCCGGTAAACGAAAGGATTTGCAGATACCAAGATCCTTTGCGTAAATACCGCCACCGACCCTGCTCACTAGTTTTGAGCCATCCAATGAATCGAGTCGGTGCTTGCTGGTATTATACTGTCGCGAAGTGAGTGGCTGATATGCGGTTTCTTTTTCCTGCTAATTTAGTCTTTTTAAAAACCGAATTTATAGTTTCAAATACACGGAAGTGCGATGGAAATATATTGAATTTTTATTCAAATTTAATTACAAACCAAACTCACAATAATATACATACATTTGTATAATAAAATTAATTTTTATCCAAAAGACATTTGTCTTCATCATCAGCAAACGGAAAAAACAACACCCGACAACCAAAACGGCCAATGGCCTCCAAAATCAAATCCACCGACCGAAGCAGTGAGCAAACACAATTGTCCGCCAAGCGTTGAAAGATGAGTAGGACAATGGGTTAAGATTAAATGCCGACGACAAGCAGATGAAGCGATAGTCAGCGACTTAGTCGTATCAACCACCACAGGTGCTGCTGCAGCAACATCGATCTAGATGCTACAACTCAGTGGCCGCTGTGACGATGAGATCAAAACAATACAACGATCGATCTACTCGCTGGCCGGCCGGCCACTGCGGCTACCGCAGCTCAACCGAAAATTCCCAAGAATTCAACGTGATGCCGCATGCTTTCACCCCGAAACGCCCCCGATACACACCCGCAGGTGATCAACACATGTGAAGGGTGTTGCGGCACAACAATCTGCTGCTGCTGCATTGGTATGCCACATTGCATAGCTAAACGTTGTGGACGCTGTGCAGCATGCAGACAATTCCTTAGAAAGTTTTGCCAAGTTTTGCCTTAAAACGAAACGAAAAATTCACAACACACCCGCTCACCACTTGACCGACTGGGTGAACTATGCAACTGTGCAGGCCAACAATGGACTGTGAGGTGTGGAGTGGAGTGGGCAACGGCATAGCTTGGACCATTTTATTTTGCTAAATTATTATGTTAACATGAAAATAATTGAAACAAGAATTCGCTTATGCAAGGTAATTTATTTATTTCACTTTAGCTGCTGCTGCCTTTGCTGGCTGCCATGTCTCCTCCTGGCCTGCCAATGGATAGAGTACTCAATGCAGCGTTGCTCGAACGGCAATAGTCGGTACTGAGTGCCGCCACCTCGGCTCATCTGTTGCAATTCAATTGATGGCCGAACAAATGTGTTCTGAAGTGGAGCAGATTGGCCATTTAGGGCAAAAAGGCACAGATGCGTCGCTTGCGATACCGCCGCAGTCGAGGCCATTGTTATCGGCAAAGCCATACTATACGAGAGCCGTTCAAAGACCTTCAAAGTCGGCAAGCAAATGCTTATGGCAATCTCGACTGCTAAGATTTCCTGTCTTTTTGTTTGGTTGATTATTGCATGCGTTAGTTCTACATACAATACATACACATACATATAAAACTGGCTGCATACTCGTACATACGCGCATCTACTTGGATAATGGCTTATTGTAGAGTCTTCACTATTTCAGGGCAATTTATTTTTCGTCCCTGTTAATGGCACGTCGTATTATTTTGTTCAACGATTTGTTCTGCTGATTGTAATTTTTGTTGCTAACACGCATCGAGACACTTTGTTGTCATCCATACAGTCGCCGGGCTGCCTATTGCCACTGTGGCCAAGCACAAATAAGTATGCTCATATGTGTGGATTACACCTTCCGCCTACCGGCCATTGTTCGACCTTGGCTTATCACTGTTGCACATTCTTCTTAACACTAGAATTTGTGTGCACTATTGTCTTTAAGAATTAGTATTTGCAATATATTTCCAGTTCAACAATTTTTTGCCTTCATAAACTACAAGTGAGTGAAATACCAAATTTCTTGAACTCAGCTTCTGCCTTTAGAATCTCATATCTATACCATTGGTTTATGATGAAGCCAGAACATGCTCCACCTGTGTCTTTCAACGGACTTGCTTCCACCAGCGAGTACAGCATCGAATACTCTTTGTGTGTAGTGGGTTTATTCATCCGTCAACATAAGGGAGCCAGCATAGACGCTGTTGTCGTATATCTCATACAGCTCATTGTACCAACGTCTGTGGTATTCACGGTTGCCCTAAAACAGTGTTGATAAATCATTCTCAAAATTCTTCTCGCGGAAACTCCTAACGTCACCTCATCAGATGTCGTTATTGTTCATGCTTCTGCACCATGAGTACGAGAAGAATGGGGAACGACTTGTAGATCTGGGTCTTTATTTGCGCTGAAAGGACTTTGCTTATCAATCACTGGCTCATTCCAAAGGAAAACCTGTTGGCGAGAGAGATACTGCTTTGGATTATCAAGCTGACAATGGTTTAGGTGTTTATGCTACTTACTTTATCATAGTCGGATAATGGATGGCATTTTCAATTCTTTCACTTTCACTTTCCTACAGTGGGCTGGAGAAGTGCACCCTCCATTTACTCTCGTCATCAGTCACCTGATCACCTTTTTGAGTCGTATATAAGTATGCACCTCCGCTCTTGAAGTGTTCTGGAAGACGCCATATATTTTCATAGCATTGTCGAATACTACGCTTGTCGGTCAGCTTCTCAAGTTCTTCATACTCACGCATTTCGTCCAACACTAGTATAAATACGAGGTTTCATTGTTATTAGGCGATTAGTCTAAAAGATTACGACAACCAAGCAACATAATCATGAGAGAAAAGTGAATTATGGAAAAAATCGAATATCGCACCGTTATAATGTTTCTTACCAAACACGGCAAACATTGGTTTACGGCAACTCCTGTCCGGAGAAAACCCCATGATGTGCAAGTGGCACAGTTTATTTAAACAAAGGATAGATTCCATTGAAAACCATCCGAGGTCAGGCATCGATGTTACCACGCCAAAACTTGCCCCAAAAGTTAAAAAATCTTCCCCGACGATGGTCGATTAAAGAAGAAAGAACTCGTAGAAATGAAACAACCAGTGCTAAAATCAGCTTGATATGGCTAAGGTCAGCTCAAACTCGGTGCAAAGAATGCTCGCGCTTCCTTCAAAGCAACCGTCCACAAGAGCCGCATTGTGTTGGCTGCACGGCTTCGGTATTTTGAATCACTCGCATAACAGCTCAGATCTGGCCCGAGAGATTATTACCTGTTTCCAAAAATGAAAAAAGTGCTAAGGGATAAAAAAATTATCGCTGTTGATAAAGGAGGCAGCTCGCCGAGGCTCCACTGCAATTAGGAAACGCCGAATTAATTTTTTTATTTAAGATAATTTTCTATAATTAAGATCTTAGGCCAGTTCAGGACACGAATACTGGCCTTCTTAGACAATAAACCACCATATTTTCCCTAATTTGCTATATTGAAAAAGGGTAGGTTAAGGATCTAGTCCCCTGCGACTGTATCCAAGCCATTGAGCGGCTCATGGGTACCTTTACCACACTTAGTGAATGCATTAAACGGTTTCCTATGAAACTTTACATCTATTTTTTTTTTAATATGTGAAAGGAGTTTAATATTCTTAATTCTTTTCAGACGGCATTACATTGGGCGGCCAAGCATGGCAATCAGGATGTGGTGAAATTAATAGCGGGCACGTACAAAGCGGATGTGAATGCGAGAACGGTTTGTACAAATTTATTTATTAAAATTATTATTAAATTTAATTTTTGATGGTTTGTTTTATAATCTTCAAATGTTATGAAATTAAAAGAAATAAATATTTTTTTAACTTTAATTGAATTATCATTTTCTTCTCTTTTCCAAATTGCTGCGGTTCATCTATACAATATCTACAGAATGGTGTAAGTACAACAAAAATAAATATTATTATTATTTTTCATACTAAATTTAATTTTTTTCTGTAAATATTAGGTCAAGTAAAAATTCATCCATTGTTTTTACATTTCAATTGAAGGCTTTATTTACCATAGTTAGAATAATCCGATTTATGTCAAATAAACACCGTTCTGCTCGATAAACTTTTGTCATTTTGTAGGTAATGTCATTATGTCTCTCTCATGGAAACCCTTAATCCCATTATTGGGGAAAAATTGGAACAATTGATTTGCACAGGCTTCTCTTGAGTCAATTTCTCACTAGCCAAATCATTCACCATAGATAGCAGCAGTTGGTATTCACCTGGTGTAAGTTCCGGATTATAGGGTGCACGCATAGCTACATCCCAACCAAGCTCTCAGAGCTTTCGGCGTGTCACTAACGATCTGTGCGATCTGGCGTTCTTCTGATGAACCACAATTCCTTTGCTGTTGGTCAAAGCTGGGCGTTTTTAGGCGATTACTTCCTTCAGACCATGCATTTGCTGACAGTATAGTGATTTAGAATAAGAGTTTTACCATAGGAAAGCAGCTAATAGTGGATGATTCCATGCCATTTTCACCAAATACAAAACAAAAGCTTCCTGGCCGTCAATTCTAGTTTGAGGAGCATTTGTGCTGGCTCACTGTCCTGCGGCCACAACCGTTTTCGTTTGACGTTGCTCTAAGTGATCTACTTTTCATCACGGGGTCACCTTTGGCTTCAGAAATGCGTCGTTTTTGTTACGATTCAGCAGTGTTTCGCAGCTGGAAGTTTGGTTTATGATGTTTTTTCTCGTCAACTCATGCAGCGCCCATAAATCGAGCTTGTTTGTGTATTCTGCCTCATTCCAAATTGTTTTTTTTTTTTGCAATGCTTAGCTGCCGGGCAATCGAAACAGTGCTCACATGTTGGTCAGACTCGACTATTCCCATTGTATTTTGAAGATTTTCGTCAACTGACCTTGGCTTGTTACTTGACTCAATATGTATTTTGAATTTGATTTCGAAATAGTAAAAATTTCTATTTGATTAATTTTTTTATTAATATTCGTATGCATTGTACGTGTACACACCTGCGAAAGTATTAATATTAAAAATGATATGTCTTCTACTGACACAACATATTAATTCACGCGGAATGAAGTCACATTTCATTATTTGAATATATTCGTAAATTCTTTTTTTTTATTTTCCTCTTCTTCGATTTTAAAATGCGCGAAAATGCTGTGAGAATTTTCAATTTAAATGTTGCGCCTGCCAATCACTTTCCTCACGTGGTCTCAACGGCAAATGTGACGCATGCCGTACGATACGAAATGAGACAGGATGTTACCACAACCCTTTTTTCAACACTCACACTAACACTCCAAAGGCATTTCGATAACCCAATCTGTGCGATTCAATATAAAATAAATACATACATACATATACTCCATCTTTTACTTGTAAAATTTCATATTCACTGTGAAATTGAAAATAACGAAAATCATGTAACAAATTTCAAACTGTTTTTTTACATACATATATACATATATACAATAAAACAAATGAAATGAATTGAAATGAAATGAAATGTTACACAACAGCGGCCGAAACAATGTCAATTTGAGTGAAATTTTAAAATACTACATACAAACTTGATTGACAATTTCTTACCGAAGGCATGTCGCAAAAACACACATACTTGTACATACATTCACACATATGTACATATGTATTGTATATGAGAAATATAACTACATGTACTTACAAGCAGCCAATTCGTATCGCTTTTCACAAATTTCTTCCGGTTGACTGTCGAGCGTGTTACATTTTACATATAAATTAGTCAGGATTTAAAATTTTGCGTACTGCCAATGCAATTGTGTATATGTATGTATATATGTATGTACGTATGTTCTATATATCTATAGTTTACGATCTTCATAATCTGTATTTTTTAAGCCTTTCGTAATGTAAATTAGATTTTGTTGTTGTTGTTGTTTTTTATTTAATTGTTCTTTCTTTTCCATCTAGGGTTACACTCCTTTGCATATTTCAATGCAATTCGGCAGAGCTGATGTCTTCGAGCTGCTCGTCAATGTTTACAGTAAGTTTTGAAAAACTATTTAATAAAATATTATTAACTATTGTATATTAAGCTTTCATGTTGTTTAGCTTCATAAATTGACTTTTTATATCATACTAAAGGGTGTTTTTTTAGACGCGTGGTTTTCAGTGAGGCTATACTTTTTCCGAGTTGACAAATACCCAACATGATTTGCCATTTTATAACAAACAGACTTACTCAGGACAAACCTTTTTTCAAACTATACAAATTTATTACCAAAATAATTTTCCCGTTCGCGCACTTCGTCCAATATTCGGTCGACATAATCGTCATGCAGACTCGGTTATTCGTGCAACTATAGATCGGCTGCGCACCACGTCTATTCTAGTGGCGCCTAACAGTGCATACAGAGAACGCTCTTGCGGTTGTGGAGCAGAGCAGTGATGCTCAACTAAAGAAACGATGACATTTCATTTTGTTTATATGAAAAATAAACTTAATGAAATTTTTAGCTGTTTGGTGGGGTTTAATGGCGATGGAAAACATCATGAAAAGAATACGGTCCTGTAAGCATAGCCGTGGCGGCCATTTGACTGATATTGTTTTCGATTTTTAATGACATGTGAGGTGTGACAATAAAGTAATAAGAGTGATTATATTACCGCGATTGTGATAATCCTTAAATTCCTTTCCCTTCTCCGAGCATGTTTCTCCTCTTCTTTGTTTATTTGCCATCGCTCTAGCTTGAAAATGGAAAAACGAAATCAAGACCAACGCCTTGCGATAAAATTTTGCGCCAAATTGGGCGAAACAGCTTTGGAAACCAAGTACTCGAAAGATTGCGAAAACGAGCCAACAGTGTGCACCCAGACATCGCTCGTAACTGGAGCCTTCATCACGACAACGCGCTGTTCCACACCGCCCTCAACGTGTCTCAGTATTTGGCCTCTAAAGGGATCCCCGTGTTGCGACAACCGCCTTATTCGCTCAGTATGTCACCCTGTGACTTTTTTTGCTCCCTAGAAAAAAATCGTTGGTCAAAGGAACCTATTTTGAGTCGATTGAGGACATCTAGGCGGCCGTGACGAGGGAGGGAAGCATGGAAAACGCGCTAGAATCGTTGTATAGCTGCCCAAGGGGATTACTTTGGAGGGGATGGCGGAGTTGTAGAATAATTTTGAAATATACGGTTTTTATGGCATCAGTCTCATTGCTTAATTGCCACACCTCGTATCTTCCTCTTTACATTGAAATAAACATCCGATCGTTTTTCTTAAAAAATGCAAATTTTTCTTTAAATATCAAAATAACACTTTTTATTAGAAACTCCTATATTTCTTCAATTTACCAAATGAAACTTTTGGTTAGCGCATTATCTCGCGTGTTTGGTCTACGATGTGGCCTCCAAGATCGTGCAATTTAACACCGTTGATTGCTCCAAAAAGTGATCGAATATTGTGCCTCTCGGCTGGAATTTATTTGAGCCTGCCGCGACGGTCACTTGATCGAAATAGTTTCTAAAATATAATACCAAACTCTTATCTTTATATTGAAACCGAATTCTTGTGGAAAACCATATGTCTAAAAAAAATTCCGAATACATCGTAGGCAGTTGAGTTTTTTTAACCTGACGTCGGCATTGCTCTTTTATGACTTTGATAAGAAATTATCGGTTAGTTCTCCAAACACCCAGTCAAAATAAATAATGGAAATTATTTAATTGCCCAATTATGGCTTCAATGTTTACACAGTAATTGACTGTGATTTTTGGTGATTATTTGAGGTTATCAGTAAGAGATATGATTGAGTGTAAAAGAGCCGGCCGCGCGAGTGTTTATATAATTTTAAGCGGAAGTTCGATAGATATGTTGACACGGAAGCAGCAATGGCAATTTTCGTTTATTGACAATTTAACGTTTTTTTTTTTTTAATTTTTTTATTAACACTTTTTAGCCGGCACCTTCAAACGCATAACCACTTACCGGGGTAGTCGAATAGATAAGAGTAAAATCGTCAATAGTTCAAAATATTTGTTGTTAATATATTTTATCGTCTGCATGTATGCACATAATAAGAATTATCATTAGACGAGTTTATTACTTTTATGATATGTATTTATTTATTTATTTATAACTTTTTCTTTTTGATATTTCTCTCCTTTCTCTCCTTTCAGAGGCCAATCGGGATTTAACAGATTGGAGTGGCAACAAACCATTGGATTATAGCAAACAAAGTACCAGCGTCTCACCGTCCACATTCAACAGTGAGTACAACATCGATTACTATGTGCATGATATTGAACCTAACAACAACAACAACTGGGCACGCACGCTTTTGAAGGGTGCCAGCGGTGGTACGGTACGCAGCGGTAAAAAATACGCCGCAAAAGCTTATGCGACAATATCACCTGGCAGCAGAGTCACTAATGTAGCACGCACACATTCAGCAATGACGGCAACCGCGCCAAGCGCTCGACGACGTCCCAAAAAGGCAACGACTGCTTCGCTATTCTCACCGGAAAAGGATCTATTGGAGCCATGCGAAATATATTCACCACCAACATCACCACACAATTTACTAATGAATAAAAGTAATAATAGCAATAAAACGTTATCGCCGTCTACACCACCGCGGCGTCCCAGCGATGATGGTGGCGCTTCGATCACTAGTGGTGGTAGTAGTAAAAGTGGCAAAAGTACCAAAAGTAGTGGAAGTGCTGGTAAGAGTAGTGAAAAAAATGTTGGTGAAAATGTTGGCGCAACACCGAAATCTTCAGAAAAAATTAACAAGGATAATAGCAAAGGGGGATCTGTTCCACGTCGCAAGGAGAGCTTTTTGCGTAAAACGTTGCGTGCCGCCGTCTCTGGCACCCATTCGACCAATAAGCCAGTAACTAATCCGATATTCATGGAGTAAAACAATTATCTATTGCTTACAAACATATATATGTACATACTATGAGCTTTGCATGCGAAAAATGCGGCATTCCTTAATAACTCTTTGGTTGCTATTTAATAACCCGATGTATTTATATTATATTTTATTTATAGTTAGTTTATATTATGGTTTTTAATTCAACACTTTTTAATTAATTTTTATTCATTTGCTAATTTATGATTTTATTCAATTTTAAGTTTACTTTTTTCAAATTTTTTTAACATTAACAAAAAATATATTCACTGAAACCTGTATGTATTTTTAAATATTTATTTGCTTGCATGATTTTTTAATTTTTAATTTTATTTTATAATATACAAATACATAAGTGATTAACTAAACACTGTTACTAAATGATACACCTTGTATAATACAACAATAATAATTGCTCACTTTTTAGTAAATAATGCAATTTGTTATGTAATTTCTTTTCAGTTAATCTTTTTATGTTTTCTACCTCTTTTTATTTTTGTTTGGAAAATTCTTTTTCTCGAGGGTTTTGCTCGCTCAATTTTTGAATATGCCTTGCATACTATTTTATTCTTACAACGTTTTCTATTTTTTAATTAATTAATTGCACCCTTGGGGCATCGCAACGATAAATGTCACCTTAAACAAAAAATTTCAATCGATTCGATTTAAACATTTGGAAATGTTACCGTTAAAGCAGCCATCAAAATAAATTTTATTTCGCTTTTACCCGAACAGAAATGGTGTCGTTAATGTTAAATCGGTAACAGTTAATGTTAAATCGGTAACAGTTAATGTTAAACGTTAAAATTGCAGTCTGCTGTTAATCTCATAGCAGACAGCCAATCTTAAAATTAATTAAAATTAACAAAAAGTTTGTGTGGTTTCGAAATTAATCATTTTTTTTTTCGTTTCGATAACATGACGTCGAAACGAAACAACAAACGTTTTGTGTTGTGGGAGCTTTAATTGATATGTATTTAAGAGGGCAACTCATTTGGTTGAGAACGAGTATTCTTTCACAATCATTGTAAAAACTTTTATGAGGAAAAATTTGGTAATTCATAGCCATGGTAAGCCATAAAATTATTAAAATTAGATTCTACTTACGATATGATTTTATGGACTTTTTTTAGTTCTTTTTTATATTATCATACTCAAATTGAAACGGTGGTTTGAGCCCCCTTCTCCTTGATAACCTAAGGCGCTCAGTGATCATAGCCTTTGTCTCCACACTTTCTGTACATTTTCTGAGCCTGTTTTATGCCACCAGACTTAGATTAATGGCCTGCGACACCAAAAGGCAATGCCCTATTGTGGCGACAGTTCAAAATGCCCTATTTTTACCTACTAGATTTGCATGGAGCGCTTTAGGTGATGTTGTTTTGAGTGCTCCGGTGCAATGTTCTTCAAACTAGAGACACAATAAAGAGTGTAGTAGTACAGTTTAGTCGTATGTAGTTAATCTGGTAAAACTATGTACGAAGTATAGTGATGAAGTGAGACCCGAAGTGTCAAAGAGTTTAACCTAACCTATCCTGTCATAATGGGATCAAAGGTGGGTTATGCCATTGATGAACTCAAATCTTTATGCAACTGATCTACATGTTTTTGAGTACAAAGATAGAAGTCTAAAACCGTAATAAATTACTTAGGAGGACTGCGCTCCTATTCCTTCGATAGAACGGAAATTTTAGCGTAAAGGAAAAATGTTGCCTGCCAGCATGGCATTCTGTGTACGTGTGGAAGGGTTAAGAATTAATTTTAGATTTTCTAAATTATAGGATGGCCTCGGATGAAAATCACTTTAGCGATTACAAACGCCAATTACATATTATATTTGTGGAGTGATTATTTCATTAGAGCGGCTAATTTTATTTATTTCAATTTTATTTTATCTCTTCATACATTTTGCCTATCTTTTATCCTTTTTTATTTAATTTCATTTTATATTTTCTGTTCCTTTTTCAAGATTTATTTTATATTATTTTATTTTATATAATTTATTTGAGTTTTAATTATTTTTTTCTATATCTTATTTTTTTTTTGGCATTTTTTTAATTTATAGTTTTTTTAAATATCATTACATTACTTTATTTAGTTTTCTTTTTTTGAACTCTGTTATACCTTACTATATTTCAGTTTATATTTGTGTTATTATATAAATTGTTTTAATTTATTTTCATTATTTTATTTAATTTTATTTTATTTTCATTGCTGATTTTTTCATATTCATTGTTTATTTTATATATTTTAATGTTATTTTATTTTATTTTTTTATTATATTATTTCATTTTATTAAAACTTATTTTATTTGATTTTTAAACAATAAAAAATATAATAAGTTTTTATTTTATTGAATATGATTTATTTTATGTTATTTTATTTTACAATGTTATATCTAATATTTTTGTATTTTATTTTATTTTATTTTATTTTTATGTTTTAACTTGTATTTAATTTAATTTAATTATTTGCTTTTATGTATGATTTTTCTTTTTTTTTTTGTATTCATTATTATTTTATTTTATATAACTCACTTTATTTTATCCCTTTTATTACTTTAATTTTTACATTTATAGTTTATTATTTTATTTCTCTTTTTATTAGATTATTTTTTTATTATAATTTGTCTTTTTTTTTATTATTATTTGTTTTTGTTGTAAAGTGGCATCTTTTTATTTACAATATTTTTCTCTGTAAATTTAATTTCATTTTTTTTTGTGTTTTATTATGAATTGCTGATTTTATTTTATTTATTATATTTTTTCATTTTATTCATTTATTCACTTTTTATTTATTTTACTTTAACTTTCGCTTGTATCATATTTATAGTTCATTTTATATTGTTTTATTTAATTTTTAAGCAATAAAACAAAATGATAAATCATTTGTTTATGCTGTTGTACTTTATTTAAATTTATTTTATTTGAGATAAATTATTATATTTCATTTTATTTTACAAAAGCATATTTGATTATACATAATTTTCTTTTATTTATTTTATATCAACTATAATTCTTTATATCATTTAGTTTAATTTTATTTTAGTTTTAGCTTTTTTTCTAATCTGCAGTTTATTTGGCAAAAGTTTGCATTTTTTATTTATTTATTTATTATTTTTTTACTTATTGTTTGCATTATTTAATAAGATCATATTTTACTCTCTTATCTTATTATAGTCTGTATAGTTTTATTTTTGGTTTGATTTATTTTGTTCAAGGCGAATTTTTTTAATTTATTTTTATTTTTTTACATATAGCTTAATTTTTTGATTTAATTTAATTTTTTATTTTAGTTTGATTGATTTTGATTAAATTTATTTTGTCTTATTTAATTTGTTTCCTTATTTTATTTTATTTGAGCTTTCTTATTCTACTTTATTTGTTTAATTTAAATATCATTGATTATGTTATTTATTATGTTCAATTTTAGTTAATTTCATTTTATTTTTATTTGCTTCCAAATCGTTATGAAAACTTTGACACTCAAGGCCAAAAAAAAAATAAACAAAAACAATGCGTTTAAGAATTTTTCAACGCCATGCTGGAGCAGCTTTCTGTTCGTAATAAATATTTGTTGTTGTTTTTTCTTGATTTATTTTCTTTTATAATTTCTTTTCTTAAGTTTTTTATTTACTTTCCTTGGCCAGTGTACTTTTTTCCCACTATCTTGGAAAATAGAGTTATATGCAACACCACACACTCGTAGAGACATATGTACATCGGTATATGCAAAAGTATTTATATGTAACTGCAAATCTAATCTTTAAATTTATGTATTTTTCATTCTTCATTACGCGCGCAAATTAAAAGTGGACACTGCTGAGGTCGATGACATTTTATACGCGCAAATCGCATGGTGTCTGTTTCACGCCGCAAGTAATAATCTAATTTTCATTTTTATGTTTCAAAAATTAAACAAAAAAAATAAATAAATAAATGAAAACAAAAACATAAAACAAAGCATCACACTAAACCGTCAAGCCAAACACTGCCCGCCCAAATGCATCATAATCGTATATAAAAGTGAAAAAAAAAAATAAAAATTGTTTTGCTACTTATTTAAATGTATTCATTTGTGCTCAAATAAATATTTAATGAACCGCCATTCCATACATAACCGCCTGCGAAACACATTCACAAATTATTTACTTGTAAATGAAAAAAAATTAATTTTCTCTTACTTTTCCAAATATACATATATTTTTATTATATCATTATTGTTGTTATGTTTATGTATTTCTGCGCACGCGCACACACACAAACGCTGCGTCTCGTGACAACTCAACTTGGACTCGCATAGAAATCCAAGCGATGCGTCAGCAGGTGATCGAAGGCGGACTCGTCAGTGCCAGCGGCACCTTGAACTCCTGGAGGCAAGTTGAACGCAACGGTACAAGCAAGCCAAGTCGGCGTAAAAGAGTGCAAGATTTATTTGAGCAAACGACGATCATTGCAAGCGCTGACTAATGTTGCTGCCACAAAAGCATTTTTAATTACCGTTATTTTGTTTAAAGAGTTCTGCGTTCTATGTAAATTTTGTGATGCATTTTCTATTTGAAACTTTTTTTTTTAATTTATGTTTTGTCCTTACTTTACTGCGTGTTACACTTTTTTTTGCTATTTTTTTTTAAATTTCTTCTTTGTTTTTTTTTTTTGCACAATAGTTTAGCTGCAATTTTTCGAAAAAAAAAAACTACTAAAATATTTGGATTTTAATTAAAATCAACTTTTATTACAAATATTCTATACAAATGTATATATTTAATTTTATTTAGTTTTAGTAGCGCGTTGCTTTAATTTCTGCTGTAGTTATTGTAAAGTTTCTCTCCTTTGGTACTCTCTTTACGCTTGGAAAACTTTAGCTTTAACTTTTACACTGAAGGTAAGTACTTTGTTGGTTTATTTGCTGTTGTTTATTATATTAGTATTTTTGTTGAAAATTATTGCACTTGTTATTTTGAAATAATTTTTTAATGAATTTATCATTATGCACAAACTAAACCATTTCAAATACTGTTCTCCTGAGGCACTCTTTGATAAGTACGAGTATGTATTAATTTTTCACACGCATTAAAATTCGTCTGCATGTATTGTACATTGTTCGTTATCACTTTGTATTTTCTGTATTCGTTCTTAAATGCTTATTTTTATTATATTTCACTTAAAAAGCTCTCGCATTAAATTATAAAATTTTTCTTTTTATATTTCCTTCAAATACGAACAGAAATCAAGGCAAAGAAAAAAACGGCAGGTAAGCTTAAATACAAGTACATAAGTACATATATTTATATGTATTATATAGGTTAATCCATTTAGTGGTTTAAAAAGTACTGCGCTGTGTTTTGACATGTGTCAAACCAAACATGTTTTGTTTACGTTAAAAGGCAGGTAGTGATGTTAAGGGACAACGCGTTGAAAACCTACTTCAAAACGGTGCTTTCAGAGTACATATATTACATAAACAATCCAATTACTCAAGCAATTGGTAAAATTTTAATGAAATTTGTAGTGACTGTTTCGGTAAAATACAGATATTGTAAGGTCTGTGCTTCATCGTTTTGGTCGTTCCAACACCAAATGCCGCTACTGTTAGTGAAAGTGTAGTTGAAGACTCTAATGTGTATATGTCTTGACGTTGTCAAGAGCTGCGATTTTCTTACCTCAAATTGTGGCGTAACTTACACCTACCTTATCCATATAAAGTCCAGCTCACTGAGGCTAGCTTGAATGTGTAGTTGGCATTGCGACTTTTACGTGATTGAGTTTTTGAAGAAATTTTTTTAGGGCTCACGGACATAGTCGACAAAGCATTTCGTGCTCAAAACAAAATGAAAGGAATTCATATGTGAGAAACAGAAATTCAGCAGCTATCGCTCGGGGCTAACGGGAAATGATGAGCGACTTGTAGAGTTTGGTCCTTGCTCATCGAGAGAGGGCTTTACTTTTCAATTGCCTACTCAGCCCAATGTTGCAGCGGTTGGCGAGATTGATATCAAAGCTGAGATTGTTATTGGTGTTGACGATGGTACCAAGGTACAAAGTTATTTACGACCCCAAAGTTTTGACTGTTTCAAAGAGTGTTGTGCATTTTCAAAAGACGCATCACTTACGACTATAGTGATCGTCGTATATCGCAATTCGAACGTTTTGGTTTGCATTCTCTCGATACAGTGATAGGCAGGTAGTTCGACTGATCTTTACATCTTTGAATCTGTTGGCGCAGTCAACCATATCTACGGTACCGGAAAAATATCTGGGGTCCAGTATTTTCGCAAATTTCGTAGCGCCAGTTTTTTCCAAAATTTAAACGGGTATCTCTTCCTTGCATCGTGTAGTGAGAATCGCGTTCATAAATGGGTTCCAGTCTTACAAGTCAGCGAAACAGTATGCATCCGACCATGCAGTCCATCGCTGCATGACATCAAGCTTCCTTCTCACTTAAGATCGATACCCAAACGGATATTTGCTGAGGCCCTAGATCCAAACAAGTCATGAGCTGCTTGCATTGCTTTTGACAGTATCAAGAATTTCCCATTTGCCTACGATCTCTTTTTATAACTTTTGCCCTTATTATCTAATTGCAAAAAATTTAGAACTCATATGAATTTTTTTTCTGGACTAGAATCAATAACTCATTAAATCTCCATATATATATATATGTATGTTATAATGTAATGTAAACATTTCTGCTCTCTATTTAACAGCCGAAAAAGATTCGGGATTCCTTCGGATTGGTTCTTTGAATGTCCGAGTGAAGAAGACAACCGAAGCGTTCAGCAACTTCTTGGGAGTGGGAAATGGTCACACACTCTCCCAAGCGGGAGCAGCAAATCGCCATCACCAGCGGTCTCACCAACACCATCTGCTAGATCATCGTCATCATCATGCCGGTGGTACGACACAGAATCCGATGATGAAGACCAAACATTACGGAACTGAGAGATTTAACAGTAAAACTAGCAGTAGTAGTAGTAGTAGTAGTAGTAAAAAGCATAATAATGTCAGCTCACGCGCTAGTGTACCGGTCAATATGAATAGCTTATCGAGTAGATTTGAGAAATTACATAAATCATGGGGCTCCGCTGATAATATACAACTTCAAGACCAAGACCAACAAGATGACAAAGCGATTATGCCACCGCCCAAAAATATGGATACGCTTGTTAAAAAGCGACAAAAGTCTATGACAACACCAACGACTATGCGTTCATCGGTAACATCGTCCGTTGTAACTGATTCACCACGTGACTCCATATCATCCTCGAACTCCAGTACTAATCTCTTTGCTGGCTACAGTAGTATGCCAACAACACCGAATCAGAAGCGTGCGCCCATCGGTCGTGTGCCATCCGCTGCTTTAATGGATTCGGACTCGGATTCTGCATGTGGTTTTGATTCGAATTGGGCAATGAATGGTCGGACTTCAGCGAGTAGTGGAAACTTAGAAGGGCCTCAGTATTGAGAGAGGCGCATACTCTTTTGACCGTTATTAATCTGTGTATATGTGTAATATAATTTAATTATATACTTGTGTACTACATACTTAAATGTATTGCTATAAAAAGCCATGAGAAGAATATAAAAGCTACATTATTTATGTTAAATACATACATACTTTTATAAAAAAAAATAATAAATATTAAGAGAGTTCTAATCATGGTCTGTCGGATCTTTGTTTTCGTTTCTTTAACTTTAGCTTACACACATCCTTACCCCTCGATAACAGCGGATAACTAAGCTTCATTTATAGATTAATTAACTCATCGACCTTAGGTTAGGGTGAAAGAGAAAGCCCAAGATACATCTAGATAGGTAGAGATGAATTTGATGCAGGATCCCAACCCACGAAACAGCACATCTTTGGAATAGATGCAGCTCGGATTTGATACCATTTTTGACGGAGAGTTCTGCTTCAAGCAAGTGGCCTTTTGGCCAGTTTTGACTACCCTCTGCGGAAAGTATATTAGTGATCAAGGACATGTTGTGGACTGGTATAGAAGCGGCCAGGTTTTTTTCATTATGTTGAGGGTTTAATCCAAGGAACCTCTTACCTGTTGAAACTTAACGTCACGCCCTTACTAGGCAGTTTGTGCAGAAGGCGGGTTAGTCGTGTAACCCATCGAATGGTGCATTACCGGCTAAAATAGCTCGCATATATCTTCGGGTCCGAGGAGATAGTGTGTTACTCACCTTCGGCACTTTGTTCAGAACACATCCTATACTTATACTAGCCATTTCCACTCCTCTGTATTATATGCTGATCTGAATTTGTGCCAGATGATTTTAATCTGTTATAAAATGAGACTTCTCAGCGGATTCATAGTCCTAAGTTGGTTGTGGTTATATTTGTTCATCTAAAGAGGGATTGGTCACCAAAAGGATGACAACCCTTGAACAGCAAATATTAGTCGACTCCAGCCCTATGATGCTTAGAATCAATTTTCGTGAAAAATGCATACACAACTATTCTTGAAATCTTCTCCAAGGTAATGATTTTAATATCTAAACTAAACAACAAGCAAAAAATCACTAACTTATATTTAGCATACTGCATTGCAAAAAATAATTAAAACAATTATCCGAAAGTTTCCCAACATTTGGCAAGCCACTGTAACTACAGGGATGCATATATCGTCTGACTATGCGCTAAGCAACACTGTGGCGCACACGTGCAACCGGTGTTTATTTCAGGTTTGACGTTATTGCAGATTACAAATAAAGTTAAATTTTAAGCTAAATTTAATAAGTTTATAATGGGTAAAAAAGACAAAAATAAGAAAAAAGGCAAAGGTGCTGAGAAAACTGCTATGAAAACGGACAAAAAGTTAGCTGCCAAACAGAAACGTATGTTGGAAAAGCTTGGCGAGGTAACTGCAAATTGTAAACAAGCCAAATATATATTTTTTTTTTTATAAAAATCTCTTGTAGACTGACATAGCAGAAGTAGTTGCTAAGTTAGAGGCCGAAGAATCGCGTCGCAAAACAGTGGCCGAAGAAATTTGCCCACCACCGACGCCGCGTTCGAATTTCACATTTGTTGCACATCCTGAAAAGGATGAACTTATACTCTTTGGTGGAGAATTTTATAATGGACAACGTGTTTGTGTCTACAATGATTTGTTTTTCTATAATATTACTAAAAACGAATGGAAACAAGTTCACTCACCGGCTGGTCCGGCTCCACGTAGTGGTCATCAAATGGTCGCAGTTGCTTCTGATGGCGGACAGTTGTGGGTAAGTAAAATGTCTAACATTATCAATTTCTACATAAGCAGTGTGTAACATGAGAATTTTTCACAGGTATTTGGAGGAGAGCACGCCAGCCCATCTCAGTTGCAATTCTATCACTACAAAGATCTTTGGGTTATGCGCTTGAAAACTCGTACCTGGGAGAAAATTAACGCGCCAAATGGGCCCAGTCCTCGCAGCGGACACAGAATGGTCGTTAATAAAAAACGTTTATTTATTTTTGGAGGTTTTCATGATAATAATCAATCTTATCGATATTTTAATGATGTGCATATCTTCTCGCTGGAATCGTATGCCTGGCTGAAAGTCGATATAAGTGGTGCTATTGTACCAGCACCCCGTTCGGGTTGTTGTTTGGCTGCTTGTCCTGACGGGAAAATACTCGTCTGGGGTGGTTATTCGAAAGCAGCAATTAAGAAGGATGCAGATAGGGGCGTTGTACACACAGATATGTTTAGTCTTGTGCCTGATAGTGAGTCTTTGCTTTTTGATTTGAATTTTTAAATTTCTTAACATTAAAAATCTAATTTCACTTTACAGAAACAAATCCGAATGATAAATTCAAGTGGGTAACAGTAAAGCCCGGTGGTTACAGACCACTTCCACGTAGTAGTGTGAGCTGTACAACGGCACCAAATGGTAAATGTTATTGCTTTGGTGGTGTAATGGATATTGACGAAGATGAGGAAGATATCAAAGGACAATTTGGTGAAGAATTGCTGGCGTTAGATCTGAATTCGCAAGCTTGGCGGTTATTAGAAATAGCAAAAAAAGAGAAAAAAGTTGGTAAAAAGAATGAAGATGGTACTACACAGGATGTTGATATGGATTCTAGTTCTTCGCAAACAGTCAGCAAAGATGGTATATTCACTGTAACCGTTGGTGGTCCAAGCACAAGTAGTAACTTAGTTTTGCCAAAAGTTCCCAGTTTATTTCCAAATAAACGGCCGAAGAATGTGCCTTCACCACGCATGAACTGCGGATTATGTGTTCACAAAGGTATACTTTATGTGTACGGTGGTATTTACGAGGAGGACAACAAACAATACACATTCAATGATTTCTATGCATTGGATTTGCATAAATTAGATGAATGGAAAGCTTTGATTTCTAACGATATGAATGCTCATGAATGGGTTGATAGTGATAGTAGTGATTCGGACAATTCAGATGATGGCAGTACGAACAGTGATAGCGAAAGTAATGATGATGACAACGATAGTGATGGAATGGAAACTGATTAATTTATGATTACAAATCAAGAATAAAACATCGCATTTGAATTATACATATTTATAAAAGAAAAGTATCTCGCAATTTTTTTATTTCCAAGTAAATCTTCATAACAATAATATAATATATGCAATATGTGTAAAAGTTTAAGAATCTGATATTTTTAACAAATCGGTCAGTATACGACGGGTATCTTCTGGTGTAGCTACTTTGTGTGATATCACGCGAGGATCAATGAAGATTTCGTAATCGTTACCACCGGGCTCAGTCTTGTCACCAAAGAAATGTATTTCTTTAAAATTGTAATTGGCTTCAATATAACGTAAGGCATATGTTTTATCCCAACCCTTTGGAAAAACGTCAAAACTTATTTGACCACCGATGCTATATTGGAGATCAACATCAGCAAATTCTTCTTGAAGTACCTTAATCATTTCCTCGCGCACATTATGCTTCTTTTCATATTCAACAAACATATTTCTTTCCGAACGTGTGCATTGCCTGCCCATTGGACAAACATTCAACATACCATTTCTGAATTCTATAAACGTTCCACGCTTTATTGGTAATTCCAATTCCGACAAATTACGGAGCACAAAATTTATAAATCGTTTCAAAGTTGGCTCACCCAGATGTTGTATTATGTTTTGTTTTCCAGCTTCCTTTCCATGATCAATTTGAACCAGCCCATTTTCAGGAAAGAGGAAATCAAATTCCCCCAGTATTTTTTTACCATTCAATTGCTCAAACATTTTCTCCAAATCCGAACCGCCAACAGTGGCTATATTTGCGAGCGGTTTCACTTTTGAATACAAAAATGCTTCGAATTCCGGTTGGATATTTGTACGAGGATATGTCAACGTACCATCCACATCAAAGAGCAATAAAATCTCATCCCGTTGTAAACTTGCCGTGGACATCTTTATAGGAATGTTTTTTTTTTTACTAAATACTGAGGTAGTAGCAAACAGAAATATACTTGAAGACAGATGAAATTGTTGAAATGCTATATCAATAAATAAGTTCAATTTGGTATCTTAATATACCACGTATCTAATTGGATGAACTGATAACCGGCAATCAGCTTGTGCAAATGAATACACAGTGTTGCCATTAGTCAAATAAGATTTTAGTGTGAAATTAATTTTTCTTAAGGGTATCCCATTCTGTTATCGCAATCAATCGAATAACGCATACAACCAAATTTTACTTGGGATCCCATACTTGAATTTGCTTGGAATCAGAATGGTCATTAGTAGCTGTGACTCCTGAAGGAAGTGCAGGGATTCAGCTCCGACTAGAACTATAGGAGATTTGCAGTTAAAAAGACTATGAGGCATCAAGGAGGCTTGGCTATTAGAATTAACTTCCAATTCGCGAATGGCGTTAGCGTCCAATACGACGACTACTTTAGATCGCAATGAAACCTCCATTTGACACTACATAATACCAACGTGTCTATGTAAGCCAAATCATGTGTAATTGTTTTCAATTTGCTTAGTTCTAAATCACGCATTATGTTAATTAATATAACTAACGCACTATATGACGAGCTGCTCAGCCATCTCAGCAGAAGAGCCCACAATCTTGATATGAAGCGTTGATATGGACATATGTTTTCACGGCAAATAGTTCAAAGAGCTTTCTAGCATATATAAAGTTCTTAAACCTGCAGTGCAATTCTGTAACTTTTATCGACACGATTTGTCGGATCGCAAAGTTACGAATTTTGTCGCTTGCGCTAACGATTATGCGATTCTCTAACGCAGTTGTTACGATAATCGACATCGCACATTTCCATTTTATTAAAATGTAGGAAAGGTGGCACCACAGCTCAACGAAACGTCAAAATGTACGAAAAGCACAAAGAGGAATGACAAAAACAAATAAATTTGTTATTGAAATTATTTTAATTAAAAGAATAGCAATGCATTACAAAGTTTTTCAATAGCATGTTATGGTTTGCACTTTCATGCATGACTCTTCGCTCTATAGGGGAGCTCCAAATAAAATAATTGTGCCGCGCTCTTGGGTACTTGGCATTTGCCAGTATAATCTTGCGATAAGGACCATATATCTATGTGAAAATATAATTAACTTTGTTACTACAATAGTAATCGGAAACAAATTTACTCTCACCATTTGCACATTGATGGAGTGGTATCCATGGTGGTTTATATACGCTTCTTCATGGTTTTTAACTCATGTGCAATCGATAGCTCCAATAGTGCCTCCAACATATGGTGACGATGACGAAGCAAAAATTTGGAAAACTAACAGAAAACCTTGAACGGTTGATTGCGTCTGTTACGCGATGAACACAACGGTTTACTGACGACTGACTCATGGACATGCCCATTGCAAAAAATCGCGAGGCGGGTAGAACCTTTAAACATTATAATAGTGTTAAGACTAAAAAAAATATTGAAAATATATATTATTACCTGTTTCTCCGTAGACAATGCTGTTATTCTTCTTCCTTTTAGTTGGCAATCTAGTTCAGAAACGATTTCTTCAACTAAATCCGGCGAAACTCGGTAGCATCCAAATGAAAAGGATCTTCCGCTTCTCGACGCAAACTTCTATTCAATGATGAAGATTAGGATACCTCGTCATATTGTGATAAAACGTATGCCAAATATTCAAAACCATTTCTTTTATTTTTTTATTTTTATTTTTGTATAACTTTGACAATTTCCCGGACACTTTACTCTCTTAAATGAAATAACAAAATTTTGTCGATATCGCTAACAACTTAAAAATATTCGTCGCTTAGTTAGCGATTTTTCGAGTAGTTTACGACAATAGCGAGAGCGAATATCGTTATAACAAGTACACCGAATATTAAAATCGTTAGAATTATCGCAAAGTCTTCTTTGCGATCCGAAAATCGTTATACTAGTCTTAGAGAATAGCGATTATCGTTAAAAATATCGTTAAGTCTTCTTTGCGATCCGAAAATCGTTATACCATTTTAGAGAATAGCGATTATCGTTAAAAATATCGCTAAGTCTAATTTGCGATCCGAAAATCGTCATACTGTGCTTAGAGAATAGCAAAATCGTTAAAATTATCGTTAAGTCATTATAACGATCCGAAAATCGTTATAATACGATAGAGAATTGCCCTGCTGAAAAGCGGAGTATGGACCTTTACCTTAATTACGCTTTTACAAACTTCTTTTATTTTGACGTTCGCTGTCATCTGCTCATGGTACTTTTTAACGCTGCCGCCATTCTAAACAATTGCTGGGTGTGTCGTTTCATTTGTTGCTATAAACAAAAATTTAGTGCATCGAACTTCGTTAAATAATATATTAAGCAAACAGGAAGATGTTTCGAATATGTTTGTTAAGTATATTTTTATATCTGATGCTGTGGAAGGGTATAGGTAAGTTTTGCGTAGAGCTTAAAGTGAAATCTAATTACTAGTGATTGAAGAGGAAGAAGCAGCGTACAAGTGACGCATTCCAAAACTTATAACAAGTAGGGCGTATCTTCATTTATGAATGCTTTCAAAACAATCTATTTCTGCGTTTGTTACTGAATTTATTTGATTCTTGTGTTTCAAAGGAATTAAAACAGGTGTGGCTTGAACAGGTGTGTCACAGCCTTACGATTTCTTTAGGAGCGTGTGTTATTTGGAGCAACAAGTATATTAACAATTAATTAATAATCACTCATATTTTATTCGTAGATGCACAACATCACTACCAATTTGAAAAAGAAATTAGAAGCATAATTTGGTGTACAAAAAGTCTAGAGGAACAATACAAATGTCAAAATCTCACCATTGCAATCGAACGAGACCGGGCATTGTTCGATGATGCGTATCTTAATGTTACATGTTTTTTGGGCTACAGTGCTGACGAATGTATACACCATATTGACCATGAGAAAGCTCATATAACCACACTCGATGCGGGTGATGTGTTTACGGCTGGCAGATATAATTCGTTAGTACCTATAATGCAAGAAAAGTTCACTGGAGGCCTAAGAAATTATCATGCTGTGGCTGTTGTTAAAAAAGACTCATTACAAGATGTTTATAGTTTAAGAGACTTGCGGAACAAGCGTGCTTGCTTCCCATGGGTGGGTAGCATGGCCGGTTGGATTGTGCCCATATATACGGTAAATATTCTATGCTCTCTAATTTTTTTGCAATTCTATAAGGCTTTATATGTACATATAGCTGCAACATGATGGAGGCATGGAAGTTGTGGACTGTAATAATCAAGTAAAAACCGCTGCTAATTTCTTTAACAATTCCTGTGCCGCTTACTCATTGATTAACAAGTATAATCCAATTGGAGATAATTCTGACAAGTAAACTACTAAAATATTTTAAGTGAATGATATATTAATATTGGTATATTTTTTTTAGGTTATGCGCTCTTTGTACTGGAAAAATACCTGGTGGGAGATGCTCAGCCAAAGATCCCTATTATGGCTATGATGGTGCTTTCCGCTGTCTCTTGGAATCAGGAGATGTAGCATTTCTTCGCGACTCAACTGTGATGGAAATGTTGCAGACTAATCAGTTTAGTAAGTTGGATAAAGAATTTACTAATGGAATTAATATATACTGATATAATTTTTTAATTACAGGCAGCTTATCGCCTGACCGGTTTGAATTACTTTGCCGTGATGGTCGTCGAGTTCCTGTAAACGATTACCGACAATGTCACTGGGGTAGTATTCCTTCTGATGCTATAGTTACATCTTCAGCTCGAAATACCCTAGAACGAAAAAAATTTCAACATTTCCTTCGACGCACAATCGAACTTTATTCCGATGCACTACGTGAAGAAGCCAATGAGCAGAACGTTCGCTTGAACGGTGAATCGGGAAATAATTTCAATTTTAACAATAATAACAGAGATCAATATGGAAATCCTTATGGAGCTAATAACAATAATCCTTATAATTCCAATAACGCATACGATACGTCCAATACTTATAATCGGAATCCCTATGATAAATACGATGGTACTATTGGTGGTAATAGTGGTTTTCGTAATGATCGTTTGGATTCGAGTTTCACAACAGAACGCAACTACCCGGAGGGTACTAACGAAACCATTTTATATGAAAAGTTTCGCATATTTGAGTCACGTCGTTATGGCAGAGCAAATCTAATGTTCCAAGTATGTTTTATTCAAAGTACAACAATTAATTTTAGTTGATAAAGCTCTTTTAATTATTTACTCTTCAGGATTCCGCGCGATCTTTAGTTGAAATTCCAGAAGATGATCAATCCTTTAGCAAATATTTACATAACACAACGACATACATTTATGGTATACGTGAATGTCCCGTGCCTAGTATGACGCTGTGTGTAACTTCAGATCCTGAACTGGAGAAATGTATTAAAATGAAGGTTTGTTTTATTACATTAATTTTTTTTTTTTTGATTAATAACGGTTGATGTATTTTTATAGATTGCATTAAAGGCCCAAATATTGAAACCAGAATTGATTTGCAAAAAGATGCATTCACATATAAATTGCATGCAATGGATTCAATCGGGTAAAGCTGATATCGCCGTATTTGATGCTGGCGATGTTTATACTGGGGGTTTAAATTATGACTTGATTCCCTTCATGTCGGAGGTGTACAATTTAGGCGAACCAGAGTATTACGTTGTTGCGGTTGCAAAGGAAGAGGATCCCGATACAGAGCTTACTTACCTCAAGGGCAAGTACACTTGTCATACTGGCATTAATACAGCTGCTGGCTGGACTTACCCAATGGCTTTCCTTATCTCAAACGGCTGGATACGTCCGTATGGTTGTGATTCTGTACGTGCCGCGGCCGAATACTTTACCAAATCTTGTTTACCTGGAGCTATCAGTAATGAATATAACACTGGCGTACCCTATGATAGCATGTGTGATCTCTGTCATGGCACAAGTTATCGTTATTGTAGACGTGATGCATCAGAAGATTACTATGGTCATACGGGTGCTTTCCGTTGCCTTGTGGAGGGTGGTGGCCATGTAGCATTTATGAAACATACTACCGTCATGGAAAGCACAGGGGGCAAACGTAAAGAATGGTGGGCGCGAAATGCACTCAACGACGATTTTGAACTACTTTGCACTGATGGTGAGAAAATAATTATACTATAAATTTTAAACTTCTTATAAAATTTATTTATTTTAGGCACACGTGCAGAGCTACATGATTATAAAAAATGTAATTTGGGTAAGGTGAAAGCAAACGCAATTGTTACCCGTGGTGGCTTGAACTACAATGAAACTCAAATCAATGCCTACATTAATTTACTAACCTATGCTCAACAACTTTACGGTCGTAAAAATACTGACACTTTCAGCTTCAGTATGTTCTCATCAGTAATGGGATATTACGATTTAATCTTCCAAGATGCAACACGGCAACTGCGCGTTATACCACCAAATCAACGACGTTATGATATCTACTTGGGCAGTAACTTTATGCGTGCTCGTCGTATTACCGATTGCTATGCCGGAGCAGCACAATTAGTAATTTCATTACCCCTCTTCTTTATTATATTTGCTTTTTTTGTGGGACTTTAAGTTAGCACAATTCTAGTGTATTCTAGTTATATATAGATATATATATATATATATATGTCTGGAGATTGGGCATAGTTCTTTGATGGTTTAATTATTATGCAAACAAATCTGTTAGTGTAAGTTAAAGAAAGGGCATGTAATAACTTTACCGTATCTTAATTTAATTTTTTATAACTTTATGGACTTGATGCATATCGGATTTTTAAGCACAAAAATGTGACTATTTTATACATACATACATAAATATCTCGAATAAGTAATTATTGTTGTTCACAAGCCTTTGTATAATTCCAATAGTTCATAAGTATAACAAACTTTGAAACTTAGTGCCTTATATTTAACATTCCGTCCAAATTTATATACTGTATGAAACATTCCGTCCAAATTTATATAATGTATGAAACATTCCGTCCAAATTTATATACTGTATGAAACATTCCGTCCTTGTTTGTTTACACATTTGTAAGCCAATAATATTGTTGGTACTTTAGTGCTAAGCAAGTATAGAAATCTGCTCTCTGTAAGTATACAAATTTCATTTTATTAAAAGACATATCAAGTAACAAACAGTTGTTTTTTCTTGAACAATATCCATTTGAAAATAATAGTATTTTTTTAATTTCATGCATTTTCTAATTTTTGCGGTTTCTTTTAAAATTACTAAATTTTCACTTCCGCTGTGAATTTGATGAAAATGCGACAGGTGGCGCTGCTTCAAAAACGTCGATTGGCATTTTGCGGTGTTTGCGACTTATCGAAAGTAATCGTTATCGGGAACTGGAAATTATTTACAATATAATTTACAAACTTATTTTGTTTATATTCTTATTTTGTATTGCTAACAAAGAATATATTGAATTGTGGTTAAACAAAAAATAAACAATTTATTTAGTTAAATGTTAAGCACCTACATAAATGTATTAAAGCTTTCGACTTTGACTTTTTCTCTGTGGGTGTTGCGCCGTATTGACCGTATTGGCCGTATTCATTCAATGTCGTTTTTGACAGTCGCTGGTTTTCTTGCATATAGTAAATTGCATCGAGTGCTTTCACGGATAATCATAACTTTTCATTCATAAGTATTTCAAAGTTAGTTTTTATAAAGTTTCCGTGCATGCATAACAGATAACTATGCAATAACAGGCGGACCGCATTTATATACATATACTGTAGAGAGCAATTTACCTTCCAATATCTTAAAGAGGCGACACAGCTCTTGCCATCCGGAGACAGTGAATATATAAAATTATTCATTGAATATCTCTCATAAAAATTGTTGATAAAAACGAAATCTAGTCTTCCCGGTTTTTAATCGACGTATTTGTTGTAGTATACCTCTCTGTTACCTTCTTGTATCAACGAACGTATTGTGTGTGTGGCGTGGCAAATAAGTTGATTTTCGACTTTTGGATTATTGAAAAGAAAGTGAATTAATAATCTTATAAAATGTCCATAAACCTACGAACCGTGTACGCGTTTGCAAGGGAGATGTATCCAAAGAATTCTTCAACACCAGTGCAATACGGCACTGCCGGATTTCGAGGCAGGTGAGTGTTAAGTCTTGTAATAGAATTATTATGGCGATGTCATTAAATAACTTTTTAATTTAACTGAAAATACACTAGCTGGAGTCCAAACATTTTATTTAAATAATTTTTATTACAACTCTTTTAACATATATAAGATTAATACATATTCATCATAGCCGGTGCTGGCGTTTTCCAGTGCATAAAAATGTATTCATATGTGAAATCCTAATATATGAAGCAATGTGTTTGCACGAGCTCGTGTATTATATTTATATAAATCTTTCCTCCCGCTGAATCCCATATCAACATTTTTATTTTTAGATTTGTTTCTTTTTTTTTAACATTTTTCCTAATAACTGAGTAAGTGTGTCTTGCCCAAAAATGTTAAGTAAACTCACATACATACATAGTAGTGCAAATGAACTTTAAATTAATTGCCCTTATATTAGTTCGAATTGTGACACACCAAAAATTGTACCAATTCGTACATATGTGTTGATAGCTAGCAAGGGCCATGCCGACTAGAGGTCAAAGCACGAATGTGATGACGTACATATGTTTGTTTCAGTGTCCACACATAAGAGTTGGCATGGCTTATTTGAAAATAAAAAAAAACTGTAAACGTTAGTATAAAAACAGAAAAAAAAAAATAACAGTTGTATGCATCAATATCCGCTTCATACCCTTTGCGCTCTGCGATATGTATATATCTTGCACACGTATGTGCATACCTTTCTAAGTCCATTAAAATTGTTTGTCTTCCTTCTAGTCGTTTACACTAAATTATTGAAGGAAAAAAAAAAAATTGGGGCCAAGTAGGCACAAACTGGGGCGTTGTATGCAGGTGAATCACAGCTGGTCGATGTTGCTAGATATGTATGTACATACACATGTGCTTTTATTCATATATGCATACATATATTGTATGGATTGAATTTTTCCACAAACTACTACAGATATCTTTACTCATTTACAATTTGTTATAATTGCTTATACTTTTAATTCCTACTTTGCCGTATATAATAACTTATTTACCTAAATGTCTTGCAATATTGATACTTCAAGGCTAACAATTCGCAAAACACCCTATCACAAAGGAAGGTAAATAGGTTTTAGATATCGTTGCTTGTAAATTTTAAAGTAAAATGTTTGTAACGAAAATCTTGTAATATGAGCTTAAGCTTGGCATGTCAGCAAATACTTAATATTCTTAGCGTTTACTCATTGTCTGAGCTTAATTAAGAGTATGCTTCCTTATGTATTGATAATTGTATGCAGACATCTACTTATGTATTGTATATATGTACATATGAATGTTTGTAATTCATGAGTAATTTCTTACTTGAAAGTAATAAATATACATAAATACTTAGAACCTTTATATACATACATATTATATATGTTATTATGTTGTGTATTATGTTATGTATTATATATGTATGTATGTATGTATCAAATCAAATAGATCAAATATGCAAACTCGTACATGTATGTACAATATGTTGTGATTAACTAATCAACAAAGAAAATAATTAAAATGCATTTGGTTAAAAAAACAAAACTGAGAAAATAATAATAATAATAGGATGTAAAAACAAAGCAGAATTCACCATGGTAGTGGGTATTGGTATAAAGGCAGTATGTGTTAGAAGTAATAACACAAACTATTTACTGCATATACTATACATGTACATATATGCTTATCAGACAATTATCTTCTGTGGTAATATATATATTTCTCATCAGGAATAAAAAAGATTTTATATACAGGTATACATATGTACATATTCATGTGTGCAATTAAATAATACACAATTTCTACTGATAAACTTCTGCAGTGCCATATATAAAGAAAAAGTAAGTACAAGCTTACATGCATATATATACGAAGAGTGTTGAAAAAACTACAAAAAAAACGAAATTTTTAGATCTTCTTTCATCAACAAGAAATATCATATTATCTTTAGTTCGAAGTAAGTTCTAGAAGGAGTAGAAATAGACCCATCAAAATTTATACGGCTATCATCAGAGTGACCAGTTGAGTTTATTTAGCCATATCCGTCCTCTAGTCCCTCAGTTTTCGACATATTTCCACAAACGTTGCTGCACAGATGCGCTGGTACATTTCAGGGGTAAAGCCACTCTAGGATTTTGGAAATCGCAGATTTTTTTTTTTTGCTGACAGAGTACTTTTGGGTCTTGGAAATGATATGCAATTGGTTTTAAAGTGAAAAAAAAATTTAAGTAGCTTAACATTTTATTTTGCTGCGCGTGCAATGAAAATTTTAAACGCGTTTTTCTCAAAATTACATTTTTCAAACTGGAAACACAGATTCGTCGGACCCAATTGCATCGATTTATCTGCGTTACAAATATTTTTTTTTTTTTTTTGGAAGCGCGTAGCAGCTTTTTTTTCTTATAATTTAGTGTGTATTTTTTAGCCAAAAATCAGTCTTTTAAACAAAAAAATGAGCCGCTTTTATAAAAATTTGTTTAAAAAAATTTCGTACGTATTTCCAAAAACCATAGTTTGTAGATCATAAAACTTTTTGCTTTTCTGTTGTAGGTCTCATGCTTTAGAAGAAATCGGTCCTCTCGTGGACGCTTTTCAAAAAAACATGCATTGAATAATGAACTTTATCGCCGTCATTTTGTAACAAAAATATAATTAAAGAACATTTTCTTATACCTCAATTAATGTTCAATGAAATGGTTAAATAGAAATTCTATTCCTTTTCCTATATTCCTACAATACATTTTTAAAAATGAGTCTATTTATCACCCTCTACCGCTTAAACCGGTCCGTTTGGATCCTTATAACATAAGCGACTGATTTTTTAAAATTAGTGAATTTGAGTCATAAATCCGACTAAAAAGCATCCAAGAGCAAAAAATTAGATGCTCTTAATATAATAAATTACACAATGTCACAGAACATCATCGAAATCGGAAGACTATATGAAATAACCCTCATACAATCGATTTGTTCAAATATGAAGCATTGGTTCAAAAATCCATTAATAAGCGCGTAAAATTTGGTATTCTATACGAATATACAACAAACATACAGTGACACCTAAAATCAGAGGGCAATATCATTTAGTCTCCCTATAACCGATTTTTTCGGATATGAAAATCAATATGTATTTAATTTTTAAATTCATTAAATAAAGGTAATATGATCATGAATAGTATAAAGGCAGGCCTTAGTGTAGTGGAAAACAGCTCTTCTTTCTTATTTTATTATGCTCGTAGACATTCCAGATAAAACTTTCAATTACTTTTATTATTAACTTTGTCTGGGACAGTCACTTAGGTCAAGAAATATTTATATGAGCTCGGTGATTTTCGCTTGTTAGAAGAAAGGGATCACCAATTTCGGCAAAATATGTAATTAAGTATAACAATGTGTGTGGAGTGTGAAAATTATCGTTAATTTTTGAACAAACAGGATGTATCGAAAAAGCGATGTTAGATGAGTCGATTACTGACCCTATCATTGTCAACCGTTTTTGGACTTTTGACCTGGCAAGGCTGGTTGAGTGCTACTGCTTAATGCCTTAAATCTTCGCTAAGCAAAGGGTAGAAAATAATATTGGATGTTAAGGAGTAGTTGTTGTCCCATTTTGCGCTAGTGTCCATACTAGACCATGGGAATTATAAAAATAAAATTTTATAGATTTCTGTCCTTTTACTTCTCCACACACGCCGCCTATTTGTTTTTTTTTTAATGTTAGGACTATTTGCACATTTAGCTACGGAATTTTCGCGTTTTCCGTACTTTTTAAAAATACCGTTATTTTGATGATTCTTTGCCTATCCCACCAAACAAACAACAAAAGGTGCCTGCTACAGAAATTGATCAATTTTATTATGATTCAGCAGCGATTCGCAGGTGGGAATCCGGTCCATGATGTTTTTCGCGCTAACTCATGTGACAGCCTTTTTCAATAGGTTCCAGACACAGATCTATTACAAAAATAATGTAATAATTTATACTAGACCTAATATTTATATATTTATATTTTTTTTAAGTATTTCTTAATAATTTTAATATATCAACTATTAAGAATTTCCTTACTTTCCTACATTCCAGAGCCGAATTTTTGGACAGTGTAATGTACCGCATGGGTGTTTTGGCAACACTACGTTCTCGAATTCGTGGTGGTGCTGTGATTGGAGTAATGGTCACCGCTTCACACAATCCAGAGCCGGACAATGGTGTCAAATTAATCGATCCAAAGGGTGAAATGTTGGAAGCCAGCTGGGAATCCATCGCTACGGATTTGGCTAATGTTGAAGACAGTGAACTTGAAGCTCATGTTGCGAAAATTATTAGTGATAATAAAATTGACGTCGGTTCGTCATCGAATGTCTTCGTCGGTATGGACAACCGTTATCACAGTCCACGTCTATTAAAGGCAGTCGCTGATGGTGTAATTGCATTGAAGGGTAATGTGCGTGAGTTCGGTATTGTGACGACACCGATGCTGCACTTCTTTGTGGTGGCAGCGAATACCAGAGGTGCTTATGGACAGCCCACGGAGGAGGGTTACTACCGAAAATTGATCACAGCCTTTGAAACGTTACGTGGTGATAAGCTAGAAAACGGTAATTATCGCAATAAACTGATATTCGATGGTGCAAATGGTGTGGGTGCGCGCAAGATGTTGCAGTTTCTAAAGCGTATGCATAATTCTCTACAAGTGGAAGTGATAAACAAAGGAGATGGAAAGATAAATGAGAATTGTGGAGCCGATCATGTTAAGGTGAAGCAAGCGGTACCAATAGGCATGCCAATTGTGGAACCATACACCCGTTGTGTGAGTGTAGATGGTGATGCTGATCGCGTCGTATACTTCTTCACCGATGATGCCGGACATTTCAGATTATTGGATGGTGATCGTATCGCCACACTAGTAGCTGACTATCTTATGGACATGCTAAAACGTTGTGATCTCGATTTGAGTATGGGTTTGGTGCAAACCGCCTACGCCAATGGTGGTTCGACAGACTATATTGCCAATACGTTAAAAGTACCCGTGGCTTGTGTGCCAACAGGCGTAAAACATTTACATCACAAGGCTTTGCAGTACGATATTGGTGTATACTTTGAGGCGAATGGTCACGGTACCATAATTTTTAGCGACAACGCTAAATGTCTAATAAAGGCGCAATCTGAAACGAACCCGAACGCAAAAATATTATTGCAAATAATAGATCTCATCAATGAAACGGTCGGCGATGCAATATCTGACATGTTATTGGTCGAAACGATATTAAACTCCAAGGGTTGGGATGTTAAAGACTGGTTGGCGACTTACGATGATTTGCCAAATCTTCAATTGAAAATTAAAGTTCAAGATCGGAATGTGATCACGACTACCGATGCCGAGCGCGTTTGTGTTACACCAGTAGGTCTGCAGGAAGCCATAGACAAGGTGGTGTCCAACTATAAACGCGGTCGCGCATTCGTAAGACCTTCAGGTACAGAAGATGTGGTGCGGGTTTATGCAGAAGCAGCAACAAAAGATGTAAGGTTTTGCTCTAACACATAATACAATACGTAATACCTAAACAAAGAAAGAATTGTAAAACTTCTTCAATCGTTTTCTAGGAAACCGAAAGTCTTGCCTATGAAGTGGGAAATTTAGTGCATCAGCTGGCCGGCGGTGTGGGTCCTGAACTCATTCATCCAGGGAAAACAATCAGCGCTCACATCTAACTCCTTAAAAACAATTTGCTATTTAAAATTAGTAAAACACTATTTCAAACTGATATTTCATCAAATCTGTCTACATAGAGAATCTTCAAAATTTATTGTCACACAAAAAGAATCTGCATCCTTAATATGTAATACTAACTCACATGTAATGCCTTTTAAACTAAGTAGTTAGAAAATAACAGTTTTCATTTATTTTTCTACAATTTGTTATTTCGTTCGTTATTATGTTTAAAGCTAATAATTTCATATGAAATTTAAAACTGCCTTCAAGTTTAGAAAGCATAAATGCTAGAGGAATATAATTTGAAATTATTTTTTATGCATCTTTGCTTGTGTTCGTGCATTTTTTAATCTTATTTCGTGAAAGGAGTACAGTGTTCATCATATTGTATATCCATTGAAAAACTTATTTTAGTTAATACGTCTGCGGTATTTTGAATTAAAAATCTGAAATCAAAAATCGCATTTATTCATCCACAACTTGACTTGTATATTATATTTATTTTAAGTATTAAAATGCGTTAATAAAACAACGAATTTGAAACATAGTGCTATTTTTTAATACGTAGCTTTTAAAATGTTGATAATCAATAAAGTAAATTGCAATCGACTCAATCGAGTAAAGTCTATTCTGCGTTTTGTTTTCATATTGGTCCCTTTCCTTTTTACACATCGAAACAATACACTGTTTATACCAGATTTCGGGCGCGGACAGAACGGATATCTGTGGCCTATTGAGCTTCCGAATCTTACTAAGCTGAACAGTTCTAGACTCCCATCCTCATAGAATATGTCGGCAGCATCTTCCATTAACGACTGAATTAATTCTTGAAATCGATGAAAATGCAATGTTTTCAATGGTCCAATTCTTTTTTAGACACCAGGCATCGTGACATAAATGGAGAGGAACAAGAATCACACAATAGCTCAAGACTACATGTCCGCTCCAAGAGCAACACAACCTTAGCTCAAGGCATCATTGCTAATACATCAAAAACGGTTCTCTACGGTACGAATTGCCCAACTTCCGAAACAGTTCCTGGTACATCATACGTGAGAGCAGCTGAATTAGTCATCTTACCGAGAGGCCTAAACACCATTCACAGAGAGTCCGTCAACACCTCAAGCAGAAAAATACTGACGTATTTAAGGTTTGGATGCTGTAGTGAACTCAAACGAAGGGATGAGGTTCGAGGTGACTTTCGCTGCCTCTAAGGGAAATAATCATTCTAACCTTTCAACCTTTCTCAATCTGAGAATCAGCTAATAGGCACAACAGTATAAACGTTCTTGAATATACGAAATCTAGTTCGCGGGGTCTGATATTAATTAGTCTAAACTCTCACTGTGAATAATATCATATCTAACTAAAATCTTGATCAACTTCCTTTCGTCTATAACAGACAAATTATGCAACATAAGTTCCCCATACCGTCGCAACACTAATCACTTACTTTTCGTACCGTCTTAATCAAGACTTATCTCCCAGAGAAAAGACCCAGTTTGCGTTTGCGTTGTGGAAATGTGCGTGTGATATAATACAATGTAGTCTTAATCAGCTGTTAATCAAAGTCAACGCTAACTAAAAGTTTAATGTGGACTAAATTTTATAGAAGCATAAAGTTGGATCGGGTAAGCTAGAGAAGTATTGTGTGGCGACAATACTCACCGTAAAATCTCTGCCTAATCCTACTCGGCCAGCAAGCAGCGCATAAAGTCTTAGTGTTTTCCTATGTCGAATTTCAGTGCGGTATCCATCGCAGTGTAGAATACAATTTAAATCTTTCGACTAAAAGCAATAGCGTCTACTCGCATTGTAATGCGCATTTAAAACGCGCAGGATGAAGCGACACTCTAAGAAATATCGATATCGTTGTCAAATGTTTAAGTATAAATCGATGTCTAGAAATGTCATTAATTGCCTTGTCAGCTAAACGCAATCGAACTACAATACTGTCTGATGCAATAAATTGTTGAAGTTATTTTTCATCAAAAGGAGTAGTTTAAACAAAAATTTGTATAAAAGTTGAATAGAGCAAGACTCAATTCTACATAAAGTATCACTATGGACACTGAGAATGTAAGTGACATGATTCTTTTGAAACAACAAAAATGTTTAGGGTTTGGCTGTGAAACGTGTAAGTTTTTCCAGTGTCACACATTTTTGTTGTTTTGAGGTTATGTGTATCCTCGGATTTACTTGCAATTGAAAAAATGTATATTTCTTTATATAGGGGTTTGATCCAACTTTATTAAAAAAGAAGAAAAAGAAGAAGACTTTCGATCTAGACGCCGCACTTGGACTTGATGAAGGCAACAAGAAAGAGGAGCCTAAAGAAGAGGCCCCACTGGATACAGCAGCAGCTGATTTAGACGATAATCTTGATTTAGAAAGTTTTGGAAAGAAGAAAAAGAAGAAGAAGAAGCCTTTTAACTTGGATGAACTTGAAGGTGCTTTACCTTCGGCGAAAGAAGATGAGGAAGAGAATAATACTGCTGCGCAGGAGGAGCCAGAGGATGACGATATCAATTTAGATATGGACTTCTCTATGGCCAAAAAGAAGAAGAAGACTAAAAAGAAGGATTTAGATGAACTTTTTGCCGATAAAGGAGAAGAAGAAAGGAGTGAGGACAAAGAAAACAGTAAGTATTCCAGATAGTGCTAAGCTAAAGTGTAATAATTTTTTTTTTTATATTTATTAACAGTTGATGACAACAGTACATCTTGGGCCGGTTCAGATCGTGATTACACATATGATGAATTATTAAAACGTGTTTTCGAAATTATACTCGATAAAAATCCAGATATGGCGGCTGGTCGTAAGCCAAAATTCGTTATGAGACCTCCTCAAGTATTGCGTGTCGGCACAAAGAAAACTTCATTTGCAAACTTTATGGATATTGCAAAAACACTTCATCGTCTGCCTAAACATTTATTGGACTTTTTGTTAGCTGAGTTGGGTACCAGTGGTTCAATGGACGGAAACCAACAACTTATTATAAAAGGTCGTTTCCAGCCTAAACAGATCGAAAATGTGCTGCGTCGTTATATCAAAGAGTATGTCACCTGCCACACCTGCCGCTCTCCTGAAACTATTTTGCAAAAAGACACCCGGCTTTTCTTCCTACAATGTGAATCCTGTGGGTCTAGATGTTCCGTAGCAAGCATAAAATCTGGTTTCCAAGCCGTAACTGGAAAACGAGCAGCGATTCGTGCGAAAACTTCATAAAATACATCATCTTTTCGTCACTAGAATTTCTTTTGTTCTTTTCCTATTGAAGATTTATTTAGTTATAACAAATTCGACATATGACAAAGAGCAAGGAAAAAATAGAACAAGTTGAACTAAGCGAGGATTAATATTTTTTATTTAAATTTTAAACATACAAAACCATTAAATAATAAAAATAGCAAACCGAACATTAAAAATAAACCGTAAAAAAATACTTTTTTAAAAAATTATTCTATTCATGAATATTTTTTTGTATACCATTCAATAAGTTCATCTTTGAAAGCCATCTCCATTATTCTACTAGGACCTTCGTCGATTTCCCAACTAAATCCACATATGCTTATGTGATCGTGAAAAAAAGATGGTCTACCAAATATGAAAATTTTGTTACCAACAGAAATTCTTGATGGGTCAAGCTGTTTTCTGGTTTTCACCAGTAATCTCTGCAAAGCCTTCAACGGCTCTTTCTGCTGCTTGCACAGCATTCTTGCAGTCACTTCATAATGCAACCGTTGGACTTCCAAAATGTCGTCACTTCTTCTCGGCACAAATAGTGTCATAACTGCTGTGTTGTCATCTATTTCAAATCTATATTGTCCATTTTTTTTGCTCGGTAGTATTTTACCAACAACACGTGCATGTACAACAATTGTGCGAAGTAGTATTGAACCACTAAAAGCTTCAAAAATTGAAGGCGAGGATGTTAATTTGCACTGTCGAACATCCCGCAACAAGAGAGGTACAAACTCCATAGGCTTATTCTCTTTTCCCAATATTTTCAAACTGCATTTAGTTGAAAATTCGGTCTCCAAACTTTCATTACTATCTGGTTTACTCATTCCGTTAGTTGAAAACTGCAATTTTTAAAGTACATATCTACAAAAACATTGGCGCTTCAATTTTTTTCTTTTAAATCAGTGCTTACCCAACAAGCCATTATCTACGAATACCTTTTAACTAGTATCTTTTAAATATTGTAATATTTTAGTGATATTTATAGTTGCATTGAACCATAAATGATACAAAATACTCGTGAATATTTTGTATTTACATAAAATTTGCTATTATAGTTATCAGTTTACACTCTATTAATTTATAAGTAAAAAATCTTAACCGATTTCACAATCTGTTATAATTATTAAATATATAAGATTCTTATCTGGCAATGCCGTCTCACTTTACTTCGCTCTTCTAGTTCGTGTGTATCAAATAAATCAAGTTCTCTAAATACGTCATTGAAATAAATATTTTCGGTAAAATATAAATCATTTATAAACTATAGGATTTCTATTACAAATCCTAACCACGTTGAGTACAATTACAAATTCGCCGTTCTTTGAGGATAATACACAGACGAAGCAACAAATTTTTTATGCGAAATTTGTGAGGTCGGAATTTTCCGAAGGAGTGTTCGGGTGCTAACGCAATACATCTGCATGACTGACATTCGCCTTTGTTTATATTCTTTCTGAATTGTGAAATTGCTATTTGCGTTTATTTGCACTTCGACGAAATCTTCCAAAGTACGAGTAATAACAGCCAATTGCAAAGAAATAATTGTCATCGATTTGTTATGTCCGGTGGAGCACTAATAACATTAAAGGAAGATGCAACTGAAGCGGGCGCTAGTAGCAACGGTAGTGGGGGCAATTCCAATATGGCACATAATCAACAAGCATCCGGATCCGGAAATGTAAGTGGCGCTTCCAGCCATAATGTGAACGGTGGCAATGGAGGTCCTCCAGAAGGTACACGCCAAAACAGCTTACAACGTATTCAATTGCGCAAACAAAAAGTCTTCAATTTGCCCGTACCACAAAAGCTGGCCAAATTATCCATGTACTCGGCTTGTCAAAGCGAAGGTTGTCGCTGCACAGGATGGAAAACACCACAAGAAAATCGCCATCGAGATGTAGAATCTTCATCTTATTGTCCAGAATTCACCGAAGAATGTCGCAGTTGTAGACATGCTTTACAAAATCATATCGCACATCTTGATGGAATATCCGGTTCGCAAATGAACGACCTGTTGGGCGCAATAATAGATATGGAAAACTTATTTATGTCGATGCAGCGTGTAGAAGATGAGGATACGAAAAAAGTGTATCTATATTTATTTCGACTCCTTCGTCAATGTGTGCTAACACGGCAACAAGCTGTAATTCGTGGACCACTTGGCGATCCTCCATTTGAAACGCCCTGCATTGCCAAAGCAGTTTCGTCATTTGTATTTTATAAATACAATCATTTAAGTCAGAGTGAATTGCAAACAATGACGGAAGTGGCCAAAACATTTCTTAATTTTTTGAACCATTACAATTTTGAGCCACCATCAATGCGTCGCTCTGGTCTAACACATGAAGATGCTTCGACTTATAAAATTAACTATACGCGGTGGCTAGTATTTTGTCACGTACCCGCCTTTTGCAATTCTCTGCGACATTTTGAAACATCGCTGGTATTTGGTCGCACTTTGCTACGTACCATATTTAAGTATATGGCTGAGCAACTAAGAAACAAATGTACTTCGGAACGTGATCGTTTTCCGGCAGACAAACGGTCAATTATAACGCTAATGCCAAAATTCTTAGATGCGTTAAAGTCTGAACTCTTAAAGGACGACTCGCCGATTTGGGATCAAGGATTTCGTCTGTCGCCTGCATTTATAATACAACAGCGTAAACGTCTGCAAGAATCAAATGCAGGACCTGCAACGGGTAGTAAACGAACTAGCACCGGAGAACCCGCACATAAAAGAGCTAAAAAAGAAACGATTGATCGTGCCATTGGGTAAGTTTCAGGCGGGTTGGTCGTAATAAATATATGTATATAATTATAATATAAATATTCATATTTATGTCCTGTAGATATGTAGTCATATCGTAAAATGAGTTGAAAATGAGTAAAACAAGTATTTTTTTTTTTTTGCTAAGTTTTTAATATATCTTATAGAAAGACTGTAAGCACGATGCGTGCATCCCTGCTCTGCTTCCATTTCACAATGATCGCTTAATCGAATACTTTTGTATACCAACTAAATACGTGCTTACGACAATGTTTAAAGTTTTGTAGGCTTAAATAAAGCGTATCTAACAACAAAGCCCTATGAGTAAATGCATTAAATGTGTTTTCTTTATGCATATTATATACATATATTGTTTATATATATATACATATACATATATGAAACAAAATTGAATGGACTACATGTACATGCATCTGTTAAGCGGATTGCTCTGTACACGACTGAGACTCACGAGTTTATTGTTGTACCACAAAAAGATGATATTTTATAAAATGTTTGTTTTTTCCTCTTCTTCACAAAGCGCTTTTAAGCGTTGTAAGTTCAATTGATTATGCGGTGCAAAGTGTAAAGCGTTCGTATGCAATAGCTTTAAAGCTTTGTAAGTGAAACATACTTTTAGGCGATTCCTTCCTATTTTACTATTCGCTAACGTTTGCAAATACGTATTTGTTATAGGTATTAAATTGGTAACTATAATAATTTACAAACATAAGATATTTTGTTTTTGCTATCGATAATTATGTTCACTTTTAATAATCCATATTCTCTGTGTTTTATGCAGAAACAGCAAATTCTAGAAATTTCTTACGAATCACTCCTCGTTCTAGATTATGGTAACTATTGGGAAATAATTTGGTCACCATTTCATACTAAATTTTGAATTTTTTTTCATGACAACTTCTTCATGATTATGGTAACTATTGGGCACTAAAACGTAATAAATTCTCAGATTTTTTTTAAGTTTTCTTTTTATTAAAACTAAAATTAAATTGATCTATGTATATTACACATTTTTCTATATTAGCGATGGCCACTTTGAGGATCTCACGGATGAAACCGTTGTGCGTGCGATGAAAGCCATTTCTGAATCAAAAGCGATTAATAAATCAGAAATCCTATTTCCCGTCAATGTGTCTCGTGATGAGAACGTTAAAGCTGAAGAACAACAACGAGCCATTGAATTTCATGTTGTTGGCAATTCCTTGACAAAACAAGTCGATAAGCAAACTATATTTTGGCTTATTGGTCTACAAGCTGTATTTGCATATCAACTGCCGGAAATGCCACGTGAATATATAAGTCAATTAGTTTTTGATACAAAACACAAAACATTGGCGCTCATTAAGGAAAACCAACCAATTGGTGGTATTTGCTTTCGGCCCTTTTCCAGTCAGGGCTTTACGGAAATAGTTTTTTGTGCCGTTACCATGTCCGAGCAAGTTAAAGGATATGGTACACACTTGATGAATCATCTGAAGGATTATAGTATTAAACATGGCATACGACACTTGCTCACATACGCTGACTGTGATGCCATTGGTTATTTTAAAAAGCAAGGTTTCTCCAAGGACATCAAATTGGCACGCCCCGTTTATGCCGGTTTTATAAAGGAATACGACGGTGCCACACTGATGCATTGCGAATTGCATCCAAGCATTGTGAATACACAGTTTATATCAGGTAATTTGTATTAATATTTTTGCATAAATTATTTTTACTAACACTAATGAACAAATTTCTATCAAAATAGTTATACGTAAACAGAGTGAAATACTTAAGGAGTTGATTGCACAACGTCATAATGAAGTGCAAAAAGTGCGTCCAGGTTTAACATGCTTCAAGGAGGGTCTACGCTCAATACCAGTCGAATCGATACCGGGATTGCGTGAGATTGGTTGGAAACCCCAAATGCGTGCACAACGTACATCACGTCCGCTAGAGGAATCCTCTGATCCGGAAAAGTTAGCTGCATCATTTACCGCTATACTACAATCGTTGCGTCAACATCAAGCAGCTTGGCCTTTCCTACGCCCAGTACCGGCTGCTGAAGTACCCGATTACTATGATCACATTAAATATCCCATGGATTTAAAGACAATGGGGGAGCGCCTCAAACAGGGTTACTATGTGACGCGTCGCCTATTTATGGCCGACATGGCGCGTATTTTCTCAAATTGTCGTTTCTATAATTCACCAGAGACTGAATATTATCGTTGCGCAAATTCTTTAGAGCGTTACTTTCAAACCAAGATGCGGGAGTTGGGTCTGTGGGATAAATGATGTTGCGCCCTTAATGCCGCCGTCGATATGCTAAGCGAACACGAACGTGTCGCAGATGAACACAATGCAAGCAATCCGGCAGCAACAACTACAGATAGTGTGAATTTGCAGCAGGTCGACAATAATGGTAGTGGCGGTGTTGATGGCGACACTAATATTGTTTTAACAGTTAATTTAGGTTTCGTCTCTCCGTTGCCGGAGGATATATTTAAAAATTAAATTAAATGGGTTATTGAGATAGAAAAATGAATAAATGAATGAATAAATTATGTAAATTATCAAATGAGTGTAAAATTTTTTTTTTTTTACAAAATATGTAAATCAAATTTTAATGATGAAAAATTGCTATTTATATATATAAATATATATATATATATTTATTATATATTCTTTATTTGATGTGGCATATATACATATATATATATATATATATACATATATGTATATATATATATATATACATATTACATATGGCACTTAAATCTTTCTAAATGTTGCTTATACATATATAATATATATATGTCATATCAAATAAATATTTAACTGTAGCATAGTCAACAATATATGCGTTATCTAACAAAAATAATATTTCCAAATGTTATACATTTGCGAAAACTAAAAAACAAAAACTTCGTTTGGAGTAAACGAAAGAAAAAAAATTATAATTCTTATTGATAAAAATACATAACCATTATTTATATTCATAAAGACATACATACCTATATACCTACATATATGCGAGAATTTCATCTGTGTTTTAATAAAAAAAAAAAACAATGTTATAAATAAAAATCCAATATCTATGCTTTTTCTTCAACGAAGGAAAATATATTGTGATTTTGCATATTTTCATTAATGCATACAAGAATTGTGATTAATGTAATCAGTAGTAGTTTTAGTAGTGTACATTTTTATACATTAATACTGCAAATACATGCATACATATTTGTACATACATTCTTTAAATGTTATGTATTAGCATAATGGCGTTCGACAAAAAAAAATATATATATATATGTCAAAGCGTGCAGCATTTACAACTTTTCGCTACTCATCATATGCACTCGTACTATGTATGCACATATATATGTAGTTTGTATATAATACATACAAGAAAATATGTACGTAAGTACAGCGTAATTTATAACAATTCCTATATGTATACGCTGTACATAGGTAACATGATGTACATATGTCACAGCTGAAATTAACAAAACAACAAATCGATTATTGCATTTTTGTTATTTCATCATTTTTGATTTAATTTTTCATGTCTTTTTATCACATAGTAAAATAATTATTATTATTAAATTCATATACATACAGTTGTACGTCGTACATGCGTATATGCACCGGCTTAAGAAAAATTCGAAATAATTGTAATTTTATATTTCATTAAATTTTTTTATATTCAAAATCAATAGCATTAACCAAATAGTATATATATGTATGTATATGATTTTTATTAAAAAGCCTTTAGTCCTTGTATATGCATACATCTTTAGTAGGGGCTTCTAATATTAGTTTTTAGACATCGAGAAAAATAAAGAAAGAACTTTTGTAATTTAATTGTTTTTTTCTTTCTTTTTTCTTTTAAACTCACGAATGCATTGTCATTTATTTAGTAATATTAACAAGCAGCAAATAATGTTCATTAATTTGTTTATTATTTCAAAATTCTCACATTCATAATAATTATATTATTACATTATATGTAGTTCATATGCAATCGTTTTTAACACATACATAAAACGTAATAAATTTATAAGGGAATTAATCAGCTAATCAGCTTTGTGTTTTTTTTTGTATACATTTATCATAAAGTTTAGTAGGATCTACATTGTATTACTGTATATTACTCTTGTTAATTTTGTTCCATCTAAGCTAACTACCGCGTATCTGCTATTCACTTATACATACAAACTATTCAGTGGGATATTTCTTGATTATTTCCTTAACAGACTTTATTTGTGTGTTGTAACTTGTTGTCTAATGTTAAGATTAATTCACTTTTTTTTTAGTACATATGTACTGTGAGTTGCTTTCTCATTAATGTGGAAATAAATTTTTTTGTTTTTTTCTCTTTGCTAGTATCTATACACAGAGTAATCCCTAAGTTAATGGTCGCTTGTTTTTTAATTTGTGTATACATTGTTTAGCTACAGACTGATTGTTTGAATATATATGAGTATATGTAGGCTGGGAGAGCACATATTTATTGTAAAATAAATAAAAATATCAGTAAAAGAACTGGCCGTTTTATATGAAAATATAAAAAATTCGTTAACCGTTATTTAAATTTCGAATATCGAAATTCGTTGGAAATGGAAATTATTTTTTTCTTCCTATAATTTAATGATCATTATCAAGGCGAATTTATAAATGGTGAAGTTGTCACAGCATATGATTGCTTGGTATTCCTACCATTTCAACAAATTACACAAACAAAATACATTGAATGATTTTCGTTTTTGTTGCTACTGCCATGTGTGAATTTGCCTTGATCATAATCATATATTTTTCAAAGTGTCGCAAGAATCTTTTTTGAATATTTTGAAAGCACTGTATGTACTGGATTAATGTGGCTTACCCACTGTAGATGTTTGAAAAAATTGATAAACAATTAGGTGTTTTTTTTTGGGCCGAAAAATAAGTTTTTTTTTTCTCAAAAGCTTCCAGTTTTCATAAAAAAACGATATTTTTTAAAATCCGTACGTCATTCTCTTGTAGATAAAAAAAAAATATTTGAATTTTTTTGCAGATTCTATTTTGCACGCTGTGTGCTGGCAGCTGCGAGCTCCTAGAAGAAAAATCACTTTACACAAATGACTATTTTAAAATATTTTTTTGTTGTAAATTAAATTTTTTTTCTATTTAAATATGAAACTAATTGATAAAATCAAAACATTACAATTTCTTTCCACATAAAAAATTCTTTAAAAAAAGTGTTTTTTGTGGGTGTTTACAGTGGCATTACTCCCCTTAATTATTTAAAAAAAAAATGTGTAAATCAATTGGTTGCTCATACGCCCCGCTATTTTGAGAGGTTTCAGTTTTCACTTTGAATAGTCTGCTATTCCGTTAGAAGACACTTTTAAAGCCATAAATTTTTGACATTTGACAAGCAAAAATTCTGCTTCAGCAATGCGTTGAAATTATTAAAATTCACTATAAACATTTCATCGAAAGATCTGAGGCTCATTTCCACCTCGATGGCTACGTCAATAAGTAAAACTGTCGCAATCGGCGCCCGGAAAACCTAAAATTTATTGTTGAAAAGCCTCGCTATCCTCAAAGTGTAACTGTTTGGTGCGATTTATGGAGCGACGAGGTGATTGGACCTTACTTTTGCGAAAATGAGCCTCGAACAACAGTTACGGTGAATGGATTGCGCCAGGGAGAGATGCTTTGTTATGGTCGAAATTGGATGGTATTGATCTGGACAACGTTTACTTTAAATAAGACGGCGCTGCGTGCCACACAAGCAACGAAACCATCGATCTTTTGGGGGAAAAGGTTGCAGACCTGGTTATCTTTCGAAGAGGTGATCGCCATTAGCCACCGAGAACTTCTTCCTGTGGAGCAAAGTAAAAGATAAGCTTTATGCCAACAGGCTAACATCGATTCAAGACCTCACTGATGGCTATTGAGCGCATACAACAGCTACTTTGCGCTTTGGTGATGGAAAATATCATAAAAAGGATACGGTCCTGTAAGTGTAGCCGTGGCGGCGATTTTTCTGATATTGTTTTCCATTATTAATGGCATATCTTTCTCTTTACATCGAAATAAACATCCGCTCATTTATCGCAAAAAATAAGATTTTTCTTTGAATATCAAACACATAACACCTTTCATTGGAAAACCCAATATAACTGGTTTGACACTTAGCAAACCGTCAACGTAAATTTTTTTTCGAGATTTGCATGTCTGTTTGTATGTACGGGTGTGTGTGTGTTTTTTAAAATATTTTTAGCTTTGATTAAATATTTTCATGGCATTTTGAATTTAAGTTTTTGTATTGCTCAGTACAGTTATTTGTTAATGGTCGTGTTGAAATACATACATACTCGTATATAAATATGTACGTGTATGCATGAAGTGAAGCGCACATAAAACAGTTGCAGTTCGGTAGTTTAGTGTATATATATGCACATACAAATGTACATATAATATTTAAACGCTTGTCTTTAAGCTATATTTATGTATGTATTTAGTTGTAGTGGTTGTTGTTTAGCTGCTTTACGAAAATTTATTATTTATCGATAACTCTATTCGCTTGAATTTGTTAAATGTTGAAGTAAAACACACACAAGTACGCTATGTAAATATTTTACGTTAAAAATGGCGACTACACACTGACATACATAGTACAACTATATTTATGTAAATATATTTCAATGCAGTTTATATACCTACATACATACACGTATGTAGTTCGTTCTTGTTTTTAATTATTTCCCGTTTTCACTTTTCAAATATCATTTACATATGTATGTACATATGTACATACTAGTTTATTTGTTATTTAACCATAATTATGCACTGTCTGCATTTTTTGTTTGTTTTTTTTTTTCTTTGTTGTTGTTACACACAATTATAAATATATTAAATTTGAATAAATTCTCATTATTATTAATTTTTCTTCTTTTGCATTTTGTTATAATAGTTTATGTTAACTCTAAATTTCACATCACAAGTTGAAATTTTTTTTTCCAATTTTAGTCTAATGCTAAGTTAGTTGGAGTGCGTAACGCAGATACATTTCTTATTACATACATAAATCAGAATTTCATTTTTAAACATTCCCTCTTATGAGACCTAATGCTATAGCCCTTTTAATCGCTTTATTATGAGCCTGTTTGTAGTTGTTGCGTGTTATATATTTACATACTTTTATGAGCATATATGTATTTATATATGCTTACATATACATAAAAATTTATATGTTTTGATGTAAGGTGATATTTTAAATAATAAATAAATAAAAAGTATTTTAAAAACGGTAAGGTGAAGCTCGAATGGAAGCGAGCATTAGATACTCTCGGCTGATATTTATATGTATTAAGCACACAGATCGTTAAAAAGGAGCTGTCATATGGCGAGCCGGTCTACTTCGTTTATTTTTTGTATATCTATATACATATATACACACCCAATAGCCGTACTGTCATTCTGAAGACCAGTGTTCGATTCCTAGTACAGCAAGAATTTTTTTTAAGTAAGATCATCTAGACACTTTAGGCCCCTTTCATTGTGTTCATACAGAACAAAC